AATTTAGCAAGCAATAAAAATTCCGAAAATAGCTTCAAATTGAATTTCAACAGGCATGCAATGCTCTAAGCCGTATTGATGTGTCGAGGTATAGAGAAATGGCCCAAAACTCTATCCTAAATCTATTGATGTGCGGTTGGGGGGGGGGGCCAATTGCCTGCCAACACCCACGGCTCAGGAAACATCAAAAAGCGAGGCCATTAAAGGCTTCTTTCCCACACACTTTCTTTTTTTATCGACCATCCGCCAACCCTTTCACGCACTTACGCATCTTGAACAAACAGGGAGAGTCTAAGGGGCCGGAGGTTTCAATTTTAAAGTAAATATTTGCCTCCAGGGGGCTTTAGATATTTATTACCTTTCGAAAGCAAGCGAACAGATCTCCGGTCAGCAAATAGTCAGGACATTAGCCTCGAGTGGTGACCAGCCAAAAGCAATTTGCTACTTCTGCTAATGGTCCGTGGGGTCCGGCAATAAATTTGCGACTTTCAAGTGATGACTATTGGCCTGTCAATGGACGGGCTGGATCTCACCCGTTAATTCAAACAAATTACAATTATGCCTCCCACTGGAGGGGAGTGGGGAGCGGAAAACCCAAAAACCCCACCCGATGGCAGAAAAGTCACAACAGACAGCTGACAAATGACTGAAAGGCCAAGGCAGGGCGACATTAAGCGATTAACTCGTTCGGGCCTAGGCTGGAAGTATACCGCCTGACTTAGGCCAACTTAACATATTGTTAACGTGGGCCAACGGCATGTTCCGCAGCAATCCCCCAATGTCTTAAGGGGATTTCAGTGTCCTTGCCTGATGATGCGTTCCACTCTGCGGTCCAATGACATGCAAATGTATGCAGATCTGCGCCTTTTGTCATGTCAACGCAGGCAAATCGACAACCGAACCGAAAAATGTTTCTAACCAACTCAACTCGTTGGCTTTGCCTTTCTTTTTTGTGATTTTTGCTGAAATCTGCGCGCATGTTTTGTGTGGTAAATAAAAAATGCAAAATAAATGCGTAAATCTCTAACAGGGAGATGGGGCAGCGGCAAAGGGTCCAAATGTGTCTGCAAAGTTTTTTTGCAGGTGCCATGGCTTTGTGTGTTGTGTGTGCGTCTGCCCGATTTTCAGACGGGGACAGCTCCGCAGCGACAGTTCATCAACTTGACTTGTGATTTCCGGTTTGCCTTGTACATTTTCTACTCTGTTACTTACTTTAAAAGCGGATTAGGCGGAGACAAACGCCCACGGTGGCATCAGCATATCCACATCCACATCCAGGTCCACATTGAGGTGAAGGGCTTAGTTAGCATGTCTGAGTTCGTTGATGTGGGTTCTTGTTCTTAGTTGCAAACCAAAAGAATGTCAAGGTGGAATCAAACTCCATGATGTTGCAGAACAGAGAGGAATAGGGTTAGGTGCCTTGTGATAAATGGTTGCCAACAAGATAACTATATAAGAAGCGGGGAGAAAGGCGCAGCACAGAGGTATTCATATTTCCAAAGTTCATTTCTTAATGTGATATTTGGAATATGGTCTATAATCCAATCCCAATTAAGTTACATAGAGTTAAGTCCTTAAGTTAAGAGTTAAGGAAAAAGGATCCTTGTGGTTCGTTTAAAAAGCATTGCCATGAAGAAGCCTATTCGAAAAGAGCAGGGAAAGTCTGCATTCCGAATCAATAATGTTTGAAAAATGTACTGATAGCTAGACCTACTGAAAGGACTCAGTATAAGTTTCTCCTTTATCTAGACTCTAGAGCTAGTTTCATTCTCTTCTTAAATTCTTAAATTTTAAATTCCTAATTCAATTTAAAATTTGGAAATTTTTTTTATTTGTATCCGCTCTGTCTTGATGCTCAACAGCTGGCACAGCTTGTTTGGAATTCACACATCGACAACGAAGCTTAGAAGGCAGCTACCTCACCACCAAAGACACCAACGACGGTGTGCCAAAAAATCCCAACCACGGCAACCTGAGGCTATTCCTGCCCCAGAACCCACTCCCAATTTTCTCACCGTGCGCGCCATGCGGCATTGCGGCAAAAAACCATTTTTCGAGTAGAAAAAAAATAAAGCGAAAATGTTTTAACGCTCCGACGCATAACGACAACAAACAAATCGCTTCATTTAACAATAAATAGCTGGCAGCAACGACGTTTAAAAAACAAACACGTGAAATGAAAACAATTCGATGTTCGAGTCGGGCGAAGAAAGGTTCAACTGAAAAAATAATCGCTTACTGAACACGGCACATTGGCAATGCTGTGGCATGTGGCACGCCCCCTGCCAAAAGTCAATACAAGTGGCACTTGTTGAGGTCGGTGGATGGTATTCTGATATAGAGTCTTTATTATAGACCATATAATGGAGGGGGCAACATCAGAATCGAACTCGGAAAAGAGCTGATCACACGAGCGTGCCCATTTGCACCACCTTCCTTACGGCTTAATTATTCCTCTGTTTCCGCATAATTCCTCCGCTCCAGTTGGGCGTGTCGACGCATGTTACCACTTGGACGCAATTGCTCCTGGAATGTTCCACCTGGAAATGAAGTCAAATTAACAATAAGGTAGCTGCTCATGATGGAGAATCATAATTGCTATGATAGCGATCTGAAGATCGGACTCGCAGATGTTCTACCATAATGGCCGGGAAACATGCGGCATAGATTCGGGTGAGAAGAGGTTTTATCATTTTTAATTGAGATAAGATGCCGTCATAAATAAGAAAAGTGGGGTGGAGCAGTCGCATATTTGTACTTGTTTAGCAGATATCTCAGGGTTATCTAGCTGTTTGTAATACTCCGTTATGATGCAAGGGTCTTGGTCTTGGACCTAATCCTGTCAACGTTTCCCAACCCATACCAAAAGTACATGAGCTGTCCAAAAATGTGGCTAAAACCAGCAAATTGAACTTGAGGCCAAACATGCAACTTCCTTCCTCGACCAGGACGACTTCCTTGGCTTATCCTGACCCTCGGGTCAAATGTGGCGAGGACACTTGCCATGTGGCATGCCAGGTTGCCATTTTCCGGGGACATTTTGAGGCTAATTAAATCCATCGCGGACAAAGAAAAAGCGAATGCTAAACGTTTTCCGGCATTGACATTTTTTTTTCGCCAGCGCCAGCGAGTGCAAAATATTAAGCATACGACATGTCCTCCCGGCAAACTTACGAGATTAATGTTACGTCCGCCTGATTTTTTTTAGAAAAGCAGCCCCAGTACACAATTAAAAGTACTTGCCACGAGCAAAAAATGTCGGAAAGGAAATGTTTGCACCGCGATATTTATGACACTTTAAAGGCGGCTTTAAGCGATTCTGCTTTGCCACGAACGCGGCAAGGACTCCCAAGGACTTTGGCAATTAAAAATGCGGTGCTGGCTTATCGCACGCGCCACGACAAGTGTTGTGTTCTCCCTTTGGTTACAAAGTTTTTCCGCAATTTCCATGCCCCGCTTGGCCCCTTGGAAGGTGTTGAAAGTTTCGGTGGAAGTTTTCGCCGCAGGCTGGGTAATCCTGCGGTGGCTTTAATCCTGCTTGGCTCGCCTTTATGGCGGCTGATAAGAAATAAGTGTTCACAAATTTATTTGGCGAGGTGGCAGGGACAAGGTAATTAGCTGGCTAATCAAATAATCCGCTGCTAATTGTTGAAAGGAGTTGCCGGAAAGGAGATACCTTTACGCGTTTCGTTGGATCTTTGCAGGCTGTAGAATTCAACAAATGATTCTTGGATCAATGTAGGAAACTCTCTTTTCCAGAACTTCCAAAAACCATATTCTATGGAGTTTTACGAAGGCACTTTTAAGGTTATGCTTTTATGTAACGAAATGGTAAAGAAACGACCGGACCGAAATAAATACTTTATTGTTTTTAAAAAAGTGTTAAAAATATTCCTTGTTTGTAGGTCTATTCTTAGTTTAGATTTATTATTGAATATTTTCAATTTCAATTGTTTATCGGCTAAACTGTGATACAACTTTAATAATATGTTCAATAAAACACCCATAAAGTAAGGTTTTTTTAAAATGGGTTATAAAAATAAAATAAAAATACTACCAACGTTATGGTTAAAGAATGGGCGGTAGTCGTAAACTTAAATGAAAGGTAACATTTGTACCAGTTAAATAAAGGCATTTCAAAGGTAAAATCATAACAAAAAAATAACTCTCTTGTAATCCTTTGTGATGTATTTTATACTTTATGGCTGAACATTGTGAATTGCTGTTAAATCCCTGATTTAATATGCCTGTAAATTCTTCACCCTTCAGTGAAAACTTAAGCAGATTGAATGCCACCGAAAGTTTTGCATTTTCCGTCAATATTTCACACAGCTATTAACATTTTTGCGAAATATTTTCGAGCCACTTCCAACCACTTTGATGCGCCTTTCGTGTCCAGGACAAGGACTTTAGCAAATCCTCACACTCTTCTCGGCACAGGACACACGTTGACGCACCTCATGCGGCGACAACGAGCCAGTCGTGTTTCCCTAATACCCGCGCAGAAATATGACCAAAGCCCAGAACGAACAAAGTCCTTTAAGCACTCGCCACAGGACATAAAAAGATAGAAAAAAATAAAAGAGGAACTAGAGGCCTAAACAAAATGTTCGCACTAAGCTTGGAAAGTCAAACAGAAGACAGAATACAGCGTACCAGCGGAGAAATCTCCTCGAGTTCGAGGAAAATTTATGTGCCTCGGGGCGGTAACTTCATTATGCAATGACCCACAATGAAATGGGCTGCCGTTGCACAAAATTTATGTGTAAAGTTGAGAGACAGCCTAAGTACCAAGTGCTCAGCTCGCCAGTCGGCAGACAACTCGAACTGCTTGAAATGTTTCCCTTTGATTCTCCCCCGGAATGGCTTTCCCCAGTATACCTGATAATAAGGCCGAAAAATGCACTCAAGAGTAAGCTCCATGGGCAGTCGCGAAAAGCGATAAGTCCGTAGAAATAGAGTCTATTAGTCAGTAATTCTTCCAACTGCGACAGTTCCCGACAGACTTTACGAGCGAGCGGTATGTGGTCTAGAATTCTATTTTTCGTAGGACTCTTTAGTCTAGCTCTGGGCCTCGAGCAAGTGCGTTATGATAACTACAAGGTCTACAATGTAAGGATCGACGATGTGGAGCACTACCAGTTGCTGAGTGGTCAGGAAAAGGCCTTCGAAGTAAGTTTGGTCTTTAATTGTAATTTAATTTATCACCAAATCCCACCGAAAGCTCAACAGTTGGCGCGAGGCTCGTCATCCGGGAGATTCCTCGGACGTGATGCTACCCCCGCAGTACCAGGAGGCCTTTGAGGATCTTTTGAACAAATACAACTTTACGTATAAGCTCAAGATCGATGATGTCCAGCCCCACATCGATGCCCAGAGACCCAAAAAGCGAACTGGGTATATGGAATGGACTCAGTTTCATACCCTGGAAGAAATCTACACCTGGCTGGATTTGATAGAACAACGCTATTCGGATATAGTCACACCCTTCACCATTGGAAACTCGTACGAAGGAAGACCAATAAGGGGTATCAAAATCTCATTTAAAGAAGGAAATCCCGCCGTGTTCATTGAGTCCAATATTCATGCCCGCGAATGGATTACCTCTTCGACGATCACATACTTCATTGATGAGCTCCTGGTACCCCGCAATCCTGGAGTCAGGGATATTGCCCAAAATGTAGACTGGTACATTATTCCGGTTCTGAATGTCGATGGCTTCTCGTACTCACACGAAGTGGTAAGTTTACTGTCTAGCCAAAAACTAAAAACTATTTATAAAAAACAATGATTGGCTTAAAGTGCTACAATGGTCTGGCGATTAGATTTGCGATGAGATATAAAAGATTTCTATACACTTGCAGAGAGAATAATAGATCAGTAGAACGCGCTAAATAGTTTTCTTTATCCTAAGGGCTTATACATCTCTTACAATAGATCAATAAAATGTTTAAGATTTTAAAACTAAATAGTGAGAAATACTTACAGGAAAAAAGTTCTCAACAAAATTCGTTAAGAATCATTAAAGATAGGAACAAGAAGGGTATATTAACTTCGGATCTTCTTAAAATAAGATAACTTTCTTGTTATATAACTATTTAATGAATGGAAATGAAAGTGCTAAAATAGTCTAGCGATTAGATTTGCGATGAGATCAAATACGTGCCGATCACATTATTGAACAGCCTATCTTATCGCCTATCTTGTACTACTGTATGTTGGTTTACTATCTAAGTATACTATCTTGAATACTATAGCAATCAATTAGCTATATTAATGTCAGATAATCTTTGTTTGGATGACCGACAGGCCCGCCTCTGGCGCAAGTCGCGATTGCCCTCGGATCCCACTGGAGAATGCATTGGAACCGATCTGAATCGCAACTTTGACTTTCTATGGATGTGTAAGAATCAATTAATGAATTTTAATATACTTGAATATATTAAGTTCTGTACTTCACCGTAGTGACTGGCGCCAGTGACGATCCATGTTCTGAAACATATGCCGGGCCTTCAGCAGAATCTGATCCAGAAATCCATCAACTCACTTCGTACCTCAACAACTCGATTCCAGAAGGTACTATCAAGATCTACATATCTCTGCACTCCTATGGACAGTATGTTCTCTCCCCATGGGGTCACACCGCTGAGGAATTCCCGGAGCACTATCCCCAAATGATGCATGTGGCCAAGGGCTTTTCCGATGCTCTTTACAGGAGATATGGCACCGTCTTTACCTATGGATCAAGTGCCACAACTTTATGTAAGTACCTCTATAATTCTTAAAAAATACATTACATTTAAAAATTTGATTTCAGATGAAGTTTCTGGTTCGGGTAAGGAGTGGGCATACGCTGTAAAAGGAATTAAAATTCCCTACACCATCGAACTGAGGGACAAAGGCCAATTAGGCTTTGTTCTGCCACCCGAGGATATTATTCCTGTGGCCCGCGAGGTGACCGAGGGATTTGTTGGCATGATAGCTGCTGCCCGGGAAGTAGATATTCTATAGATTGAATATACAGCAATAACTATAAAGTTTTTGATTTTTTGTTTCCCGAAAATCCAGAATCTGAAACACTTAAAGAAAAATGAATTTTAAAATGTTATATTTCATGTAATTCTCAAGATACTCCATAATAAAACTAGTATTGACCATTTTAAATACCTGTATTTTATATTAAACAAAACTCCCTAATATTTCTACTGTAATTGTTTTAAATTATGATATTCAGTCCCCAAAAGCGATAAGTAACGTAGAACCAGAGGCTAATCAGCCAAAAATTTTGTGAAACGCTTCAGTTCCCTAGTGACTCTGCGATTGAAAGGTATGTGGTCTAGAATTCTGGTCTTCGTAGGGCTCTTTAGTCTAGTCTTGGGACTCGAGCAAGTGCGGTATGACAACTACAAGGTCTACAATATAAGGATCGACGATGTCGAGCATTACCAGTTGCTGAGTAGTCAGGAAAACGCCTTTAAAGTAAGTTTGACTTTGTAACCTTGTTGATTTTTAATACCAAATATCATAAAAGCTCAACAGTTGGCGCGAGGCTCGTCATCCGGGAGATACCTCGGACGTAATGCTACCCCCGCAGTACCAGGAGTCCTTCGAGGGTCTTTTGAACAAATACAACTTCACATACAAGCTCAAGATTGACAATGTGCAGACCCTCATCGATGCCCAGAGACCCAAAAAGCGAACTGGCTATATGGAATGGACGCAGTACCATACACTGGAAGAAATCTACGCATGGCTGGATTTGATCGAACAACGCTATTCGGACATAGTGACACCTTTCACTATCGGAAATTCCTACGAAGGAAGACCCATTCGAGGCATTAAAATCTCTTTTAAAGAGGGAAACCCCGCGGTGTTTATTGAATCCAATATTCATGCTCGGGAGTGGATTACTTCTTCGACGATCACATACTTCATTGATGAGCTCCTGGTTCCCCGGAATCCAGGCGTCCGAGATTTAGCCCAAAATGTGGACTGGTACATTATTCCTGTGCTTAATGTCGATGGCTTCTCTTACTCGCATGAAGTGGTGAGTTAAGCTATTAAATTCAGTGTTAAACTATAAACATTTACATAATAATGTAATTAGTTGAAACGAAAGTGCTAGCGTCGTCTGGCGATAAGATGAAATAAGTGCCGGCCTCTTTAGGGCACAGCCTATCTTATCGCTTATCTTGAACTAATCTTGTAACAAGTAATCAATTAGCTATATTAATGTGAGATAATCATTGTTTGTATGACCGACAGGAACGTCTTTGGCGAAAGTCGCGCTTGCCTTCGGATCCCACTGGAGAATGCATTGGAACTGATCTAAATCGGAACTTCGACTATTTGTGGATGTGTAAGCTCAACTCACTTTTATTTTTTTTTAATTTTTATTAGCTATAAATTCAATTTATTCACTTAAGTAATTGGCGCCAGTGACGATCCGTGCTCTGAATTTTATGCTGGACCTTCAGCAGAATCTGATCCAGAAATCCATCAACTCACTTCGTATATCAACAACTCGATTCCAGAGGGAACTATCAAGATCTACATATCGCTGCATTCATATGGACAGTATGTTCTCTCCCCATGGGGACACACCGCTGAGGAATTCCCGGAGCACTATCCACAAATGATGCATGTGGCCAAGGGCTTCTCAGATGCTCTTTATAGAAGATATGGCACTGTCTTCACGTACGGATCCAGTGCCACAACGTTATGTGAGTTTTAATTAAACTCAAAAAACTACAGATTTCATTTTTAATATTGTTTTCTAGATGAGGTTTCCGGTTCGGGCAAGGAGTGGGCCTATGCTGTAAAGGGAATTAAAATACCCTACACTATCGAACTGAGGGACACAGGAGAGTTGGGTTTTGTCCTGCCACCAGAGGACATATTACCTGTGGCCCGCGAGGTGACCGAAGGATTTGTGGGCATGATAGCTGCTGCCAGGGAAATAGATATATTATAGATTCATATATTAAATGCCCTACTTGCAAAAATAATTAAGCAACAATAAAATAGAGCATAATACATTTAATTAAATAACTCAATTAAATAATTGATTGCTTCCCCAACCCAAATTTTTATTAAAAGTTTTAAAAAGCGGGACACATTTAGCTTTATTATTGTAATAAAGTTAAACAATTCCAATGTCAGAATTTGATGAAATATATAACTAAAAGTTGCCCTAAAATTGCTCCCGCAAAGATTTTAAGTTTGAAAATTATTGTTTTAATAACGAATAATAAAATTTTTGAGTATTAAACGAGGCAGTCCATATTTCGTAAAACAAAAATAAAGCGAGACCCCTTTTTGGGTTAAAAAATGCTCCCCCATTTGGTGGCGCCACTGCGTGGCAAGCTTTTGCTCCGCCCCAAAGCCGAGCCGGGTGCCGAAGCTTCCAATCAGCGACGTCGCATTGCTTTTTGGGGGAAAGCGGCAGAGCCGGGAAAACGGGCAGAGTGGGGGCAGAGCGAGGCGAGTGTGTGCGAGGACTGCCGAACGAAGCGAGTCCTTGGATAAGGAGCCCGGGTTGCATTCCGGTCTTTCTTTTCCTTTTTTCTCCCGGACCGCTTGCTCCTCGCAGCCTCAAGTGTTGGTTGGGCAGAGAGTCTCCGCCTCTTTTCAACGCGCGCACAGCATCCTGTCGGACAAGGACGAGGCTCTGCTCCACCGTTGGGCGGCAGGACTATATTACTATATTCATGCATATACATATTCACATCCAGATCCTACACGTATGCGCGCGTCAGGGAAATGTCGGAAAAGCAATCGCAACGAATGGCAGACGACCAGGGAAATTCTTCAGACTTCCAGCAACATGGCGTCAGTCTCCTTGTTATATAGGGAGTACATAACCTGGATTTATATTATGTGTATCCTTATATAGGAACCTCCACTTGGCTCCTTTTTGTTGTTATTGTTGTGTACGCTTGCACTTATTTTTTTCAATTTGTCTAATGAAATTGCGTTTTCCACTTGCGTCGCTGGCAAAAAAATACAAAAAAAAACTGACAGCAGCTAGATAGGAAATAAAATGGCACGAAAAATCTTGGAAAATTCGAGAAAATATAACGTTGACACTTTTTGCGCTGCAAGCTCCTTGAACGTGTGCCCTCTATGGGTGTGTGAGTGTGCAAGTCCTTGTCCCATGTCCTGTGTCCTGTGTCTGCCTTTTCACTCACTGTTCTCTCTGCATATAAATTGAAATTTACTAACCTCGCCCTGTCCGCACTTTTCCTCCTGCCACTTTTCCTGTTGTCAGTTGCACCTTTATGACAATTTTCCTGCCACTGCCACTGCCACTTCTTTTTTCCGGATTTTCTTTGCCTTTTCTCTATTTTTCGGTTTTTTTTAGGTTGAAGTAGTAGGTGTATGTTGCGCATATTGTGGTGATGAATTTTTCTCTTTGAGTTATTTGGAAGGAATGCTGCAGAGTCCAAGGAAATGGGAAGTTGAAACGGTGGCAATAAAAACTTACTTAGCCAAATTGCAATAAGCCCCGGGAGTTAGGGGCATCAAAAAGAAATATCTAATTTGTATAATAAGATTTACAGCAAACGTTTGTTATTCATAGGATAGGTAGCCACTTTAAGGTTTTAATGTAGACCCAATTATTAACCCAAAATCCCCCATGACTCATTGACTTAAGCTCTAAACTCCCCTTGGAATAGAAACTATTTATCAAAACACCTCTAATTTGATAATTCAATTATGCATTTCAATTCCCCCGACAGCCAATCAAGAAATCAAATCAAAGTAGATTGATTTTGGTCACATGGAGCCAAGCCCCAAAAAAATCGATTTAATTGCTGCCAAGGCAATAAACTTCAACGGCAATTGACGCTTGACACTTTGAGAACAGCGCTTGAGAACGCTCCGGCCAGCTAGCCAGCTGGCCAACTGGCTTAGATGGCCAACCGAAGCCATTGGAATGAAAAGGCACATGGTCTGGGAGCAGGGAAAGTATGACGGTACTTTGTGGATTGGTTTGGTTCGGGATTGGATTGGATATTCCCAACGCGCGTCATGAAGCTGCGGCGTCTGCGCCTTTTTTGGACGTTTGGCAATGTGAAATGGCTGGGAATCGGGGGGTTAAGGAGGCAGATGATCATCGCATAGTGCTCCGGCCTGATGGCGCTCAGATGGCCAGGAGATCCCTGGTACGCCTACCAGGAGTTATGACAGGCCGCAGAGCTGCGATCCTTAAATGGCAAAGACCCAGCCTCCGTTTATGGACTGACGACAAAGAGACGACGACGCTGGCGTGTTGACAATGATGTGCCTTTGGAGTTGGATGATTGGTGTTTTGTGCCCATTTCGCAGGAAAGCCAAGGGTTCCCGTTTTCCTGAGAATAAGACAGTCCAGTACACAGGAAGAAAATAGTTAGAGCTTGCGATAACTAATACAAAAAAAGGCTTAAAAATCGTAGATTTAAATAAATCGTTTGTTAAAATCTAAGTAGAAATCTAAACACTATATTTTTGTATAAACAAATATTATATTAAAATTTTCTCTGTGAAGGCCATGGAGACATGTGGGCTCTCTGCATCGCATCGCGTCGGCCCAAGTCCCGATTCTACAGTCTTCTGGCTACAGGCTCTCGGTGCGTCGCCGTTGCCTTATAAGCCATGTCTAGACAGGCTGGAAAAAATCACAGCAGCCCAGGCAACCGCAGCAGCATCAGAATCATTCAGGTAATACCAAGTTTGGTGCGGAGGCCTTCCTTCAATGATTGCCCCATGAATGAATGAATCCAACTCCGCGGTCGCCGGTCGGAGCAATTAGTATGCGGAGATTGCGATCACTCGGAAGTAATGCTAATTTTCGTTGTCTACCCGGTTACTCAAATAGGAAAGGGTATATACAAGTAGGATAAAATGTCTGGTTGAGCTATGAATACCCTTAGTGGTATATATAATATTTTGAAGTAGTTTTGTAAATTATTATTTCAATTATTAAGTAACAAATTATTTTATTTAGGGAAGAAAGTAAATTTTTTAATAATCTAGAGTATTAAAAAAACGATCTCTAAAAAGTCAATCTTTTTCTAGGCTCACCTCGTTCTTCATCTAGTTCTGTTTCCCTATGAAGTGCTTCTGAAGCCACTGAGCTAGTTTTTCTAAGGTCCCGCCAACCCGCTCAACATGGCCTGATGCATTGGCCCAGGAGATGTCATTAACATTAGATGGAGCAGGTGAATGAATGCAGCTGACAGATGAAGACAGTTGGGGATCGGAAAGTACAACGAAAACGAAAAAAAAACAGTGGGAAGGTATCTGAAGGAGGACGTGGTGGCGAACTCCATTATGCAGGCAGCTTGTCTGTGCCATTAAGAGCGTTAACAGGAGGACATTAGTATCCTGTAGGCAACACCTGACGCAGCAACAACTTCAACTCGACGACGAAGACGAGGTCAACTTCAGACAAAGGCATGCAAATGCGATTTAGTTGGGGAAAGGGAAGAGAGTCCAGGCCCAGGATGCAGGGGGCAACTTGGGTCGCCTTGGAAAATAAGAAAACAACTTTTTGCGCTAAGCAGATGAAGGACATTTGCATAGGCGCCCTGCTTGGGACGGCAGGCAGCGCCAAATCAAAATCTTTTTAAAGGATATTCTATATAATTTCACGCTTAAAAGCCTGGAAGACAGGCAGCAGAAGTCCAGTGCCCGAATCCAGGACAGGCCGACGTTCCGTGTTTGCTTAGTGTCCTGGGGAAATTGAAAAAGAAAGAAGGTGCACCCCTGGCTGGAACAGCCGTTGCTTTACCCACGTGCCAAGCGGCTTAAAAAAGCGATTCGAAAGGCGGCATCCTTATCCTTCGTCGTCGCGGGACATTTGCATGCGACTTTTAAATCAATTATTGTTAAATATTTATTTCTTGGCAGTCCATTTCGGGAGTGGCGAGGGAGAGTTGTCTGTTGGCGGGCATATTATCCTAACATAAATTACATGATTGATTTCATTCGAAGGGCAACAATGGAAGACAGGCCGGAATAGAATGGCGCACACACTTTATCCTTGGAAGACATTGGGGAAAAAAGTAAACAAAATGCAAATTCTCCGAGGGGTTCTGGGGTTCTGGCTTGATTAAAAAGCTTAGAAATTAGCATATCATTTGTGGAGCTATTTGCTGGCGTTTATAAATATATTGATTCGCTGTCCGGGGAACTAAGAAGAAGGACAGCATATTCATATTGAAAATTGCTACAGCTTTTCAAGAGTTCCTACTTGCGTTTTAAATTCCCAAAGTTGAGCACTTTGTGGGGGCATATCTGGGGGTAACTTTTACCCAACTATACACCTTGGCTACCTTGATGGAAGGCAACATCTTTGCCTTATTTATTTATTTTTTATATATCTTTTCACATTTTATTTTTTACGCTCCTTGGAGCTCCTCTTCGAGGCTGCAGCGTCGTGTGTTTTGCTCAGTGGCGCGTTGACATCGCCATCAAAATGCTTTGACGTGGTTTTTGATTGACAGGAAACTCATAAATAATTCATGTCATTAAATCATGTTACATTTTTTCTTCTCCCAGCTCAGCTCAACTCGGCTCGACCCAGGTCCTCTGCTTTCGGTCCTCTTCTTGTGCAGCGGCAGCAGCAGTTCCAACATCTTCAGGACCGGCCATTGAAACAAGTTTCTCCAACTGGAGTGGCGGACATTTGGGCAGCTCTTCTCGGTTTCTCAACTGAGTCTCCCCCGCCTCGATTCTCCAGGCCCCCAGCCCAGTTCTCTAGCAATTAAATGTCAAAAACTGTTTCTCTTCTCGCCTTCTTCTCCAAAGATGTAACTCAATTCAGCTCTCAGATTTCTCAGATTTCTTTTTTTTCGAGCAATTTTCCTTCCCTTTTTTCATCATATTTTTCCTGCAGCGGAAAACTTGAAGAAAATAAGTTTTCAATGAATATAATTATGCAAAGCAGCCGGCAAGTCGCACTCCACTTGGCTGGACCTTAAGAGGCTCTGGAAAAAAGGACATTAAAATTATATAAAAGCAGCTTGGCGAAATTTAAATATTTCAGCGCCTACTCCCCGGCTCATTTCCAAGCTGTCATAATATTTTATTATTGCTTGTTTTAATTCCTTGTTTCATCATTTCACGATTTCTGCTGTTTTATTTTGTCTTTTTTTTTCATCTTTTTTTGCCATCCTCGGAAAATTGTCCTTCGGCCAAGGGAAAGTTTTTAATTTTTATCAAAAGATTTCTTGTGCTGCTGTTTTTAATGAAATTTTTTCACTGTCCTGTAAAGGATTGTGCGCAACCGAAAATTTGCATAATTTTTGTCAGCCATTTTTAATTTCTGATTTTGGTGCAGTAAGGAGAGATCCTTAAAAAGTTTTCTAGGAGCTGTAGGCCTTTCATTAAAGTAATAGGTTTTACATATATAATTTTTGAAGAAAAGATTCAACAAGCTACCTTTGATAAGTCATGTCCATACTATCAATTTCTTTTATTAGGCTTATTAGGCTCCTTTTTGGCAGCCTTTTTAATTAAAGAATAGTCAGTATTTAACAAGTCATAGGCCTCTCTATGTGTCTTCTTACGAAAGACCTGCGGTTTTCCCTCATTGATCCATTACCAGTTAGCCGTATTTACTGGCTGACTTGATTCTGGTAAATCATTTTAATTGTCCTGCCGCACTTGGGCGGCATATAACCCTCCCACCACACTCGCATCCTTGAGCCTTTGTTGTTGGCGATTGTGTGCGGCGATAATAATTACACGTCACGCTGCCACGCAATCAAAACATTATTTGTGCAAAATCACGGAGCTGAACTGAAGCGGAAGTGATGAAGGACTTATTGGCTGCACGCGTCTCTGGAAAAAGTTTAAAAAATATTTGGCTGGCAGGCACCCCATTTGCATTGCACCCAAGTCTCTGGCTGATCCTTTGGTCCTTCCGTTCCGTGTAAAATTCAACGCAACGCGTGCGGTCACGTGTCTGGCGGACACGCCCACTTTCATGATAGTCACAATCGACATCCGAGATTTAAACAAAACGCTGCCACCGCATCAGCAGTCACTCACAGCCGGATCGACTACTTCCTACTCCTTGTCATCCATCGGGAATAATCGACACCGTCGCTCCAGGACCGCTGGGAAAATCAGGAAGGAGCTGCGGAAAATCGCTGAAAATTATGTAAATTGTTTTTGGGGAAACACAGAAGAAAGGAGTGCGAAAATTTGCCTAAATGCTGGCAGGACGCCCCAACTGGTTGTGCCTCAAACTGTTGCAGCCTGCGGGAAAAATGCCAAACAATGTGACAGAAACATATGTTGCCATTATCAGCAGTTACCGAAAGGACAAGCCTTTGACAGGACTCTCCGCGATTCGCAATGGATGTCAATACTTGGGGAAAGCTTGGACTAGGGATGATGTATTTAATTACTAAATAAGAGTAAATTGATTTTATTTTGGTGTGTAAATCAAGCTTTTGCTGAATACCTTTGAAATAAAACTCTGTCCGCCCACCACCTATATTCTTTTTAGAAAGGATCCCACAAACACACCCCCTTTCAGCCCACCCGACGTATCAATGGGAAGATATCATTTCGCATTTGTTGTTATTACTTCCTGGCCGCCATACCCCCATATACATTTCATATTTTTCCCACCAGTACGAGATGTCCACCCCCCTGCACTGCTATACTTTTGATTCCTGCCCTCTAAAGACACACGTCCGTGGCAATAAATGCGCAAACGTTTCAATTCCGTTGCGGCTGACAAATGCAAGGAAAAAATGGCAACGATTCTGCCCCAAAAATATATTATAATGATAAAAAAAATCGAGTGAATAACAGCGGACAAAAGTTTATCTCGATGCTGTCGAGTGTTTTGATTTGTAACGTTTCTCACTTCATTATTATGCAATAAATAATGCCATCTACATGTGCCATCTAATATAATGCATAAGGGTGAAGTCGCGAGGGTTGTTGGCAGGCTTTGGCTTTTGGTCCTTTGGACGCGACTGGTCCTTTGGCCAGCGGAAGTAGAGCGGAGCGATGGTCAGAAATCACTGTTGTGGAAATTAATGAGGCCTAACATGACAAGTAGAAATTTTTTACCACTATCATTTTTGATACAAATCATAAAGATAAATATTTTTATTATTAAATATTTAAACACCAAGGTTACCTCAAATATACTATATTTCAAATATATACCTAAATAAAACACCTCTTTTATTTTTAAATTATTTATTTATTTCTGTCAGTTCTCTATACAAATACCAAAGTAACGTTCTTATTAAAGTTTGCATTTAAAAAAAAAAATTCTTAAAATAAAAATGTTACTGTCAAATACCTCTTACCTTTATAATTCTTTTCTATTTAATATTTTTCAAATTTTAACTACTCCAATTCCTTTCCTAAAAAAGGCATCAGTACTACTGATTCAGTAGCGATATTTCAAATAGTTTTCATTAAGTTTTAAGTTTTTAAAGGATTTACATTTAGAATTTTGAATGGTTTTTTCCACCTGAATTTCTTTAGTAGGAGATGTAGGCTATAATATATATTTTTTTTAATTACTAAAATGAAAAACAAAGTTTATAGCAAGAAAGAGTCGAGGAGCAGAGTATTAGGTATCATATAGTCAAAAAAACTGCCTTACAGATTTATACTTTTTTTGCCTCAATATTAAGCATAGGTACACTTAATTAAACAATATCCAAAAAAAGATTTAATTAACAATTTGCCAATTTATTAAAAGTATTTTCCGCTTTATTATAAAGTGTTTTTACTAAAAAACTAAAAATATTACGATCCAAAATATTTATGTGTTCCACTGTGGCCAACCCTTTGGAAGCTTTTGAAAACTTTGGAGAAAGTTCATGGACAAAACTTTCGCCATGGTGTTGCCAATTGCCTTAAAAATACACATTTCTCCATTCTTAGGGGTAGCTTTTGATTTTTATTCTGGCAACATTGTTTTGCAGTGCTGGAAAACGATGCGGAAAGTTTGAAAGCGTTTCGAAAAATCGCGGCGGAAAACCACCCCTGATCAGTTGTGTGTGTTGGTATGCTCCGCCATGCCGCCGCTCTCCCACGAGAGCGCGAAAGCACAGAAGTCGCTGTGTGACACAAAGAGGAGTGTCAGGCAGCATAAATTTCAGCATACAAAATTCCACACACCGTCGCAGATACTTTTCGGCAAGTTCTCCGGAGAAAACTCGAGTGTAAATAATTTCAAAAAAAAAACCTGAAAAGTTCCTTATAGTGTTTAGCCGATGGATTTGTGTAAATAAATTCGTTTAGCGGTAAATACTGCAAGTGCGCAAAATTCGGCCCAAACGGGTACGTCTTTTATTTGCGGGTGTTTATTCGGGCCAAATGTGCCCAAGTGGCCAATGAGATAAATCAAACAAGTTTCAAGCAAAGAAAGGAAGAAAGAACGGCCGCGGCTGGCGGGAGTGGAAATTTATATGAAATCGTGAAATCATAAATAAAACATAAATTATGTTTAGCTGGCAGTTGGCGGCAACAAAAATAAAACCATCAAAAGCAACACACACACGAAAAAAAAAAAGATGCGAGCCAAGCGGATATATTTTGATTTTTTTTTATAAATAGAAAAATCAATTTCGCACGCAGAGAGCCCGAAGCTCTCCCCCACACACACATGCGCATGTGTGTGTGTCTATTATAAGTCCAGTGAGCGGAGCGGAAGAGGGAGCCAGCGAGCCAGCCAGCGAGTGGCCGCGGCCACTTTCTCAGAATCTCAGAATAATTGAATATAATTCAAGTGTTTTTGTTGCACTATTTGTTGTGCTTATTATTGTTATTATTTGTTTAAATTATCCCAACAACAAAGCGCGCGCGCCATTTCCTTACCTTACCTTATAAAAAAAAAAAATTGAAAAAAAAACCGCCCACAGTGGGCACAACAACAACAACCACAACAAGAGAAGAGAGACGACAAGGAGCTTACAAGCTCAAGGAGAGCAAGCTGCGATTTAGTGCAGCCCTGGTCGCAAGAACCCTTTTATGGGTTTGTCCTGTTTACAAATTGACGGTGCAAATTCAATTTATAGCACGGCAGAAACAAGTGGTTGAGTGCCAGCCAGGGACCAATTTAATTTCCGTTCCTGTCCCCAAAGAAAGAAAACAAATAAATGCGAATAGGGGGGAGGGAAATGTCTCAACAGTCGGAATTCCATAACAAGAACTGGCAGTGATTCCAAATTCTTTTCTTTAATGTTTTAGATTGTGGGTGAATATTTACACTTTTTCTTTAAAAATATTTGAAATTCGGCTAGACTAGGGAAAGTCCACTGTATTTGGTTTGAACTGGAAATAGGTGGCTGGCCGAGTGGGTGGCTTTTGGGGGTGGTTGAATGGTATTTTCCTCGAGAATTCACGCACAAATGTTGGAAGAACATTTGTTGCTGCTACTGCTACTGCTGCTGCTGCGGAATCTTTCGAAATTGACAACAGCAGCAGCGGACGCAGCATCGAAGCGGTACAACAACCACAACAACATCAAATCAAATAAATTAAATTTACACACATAGTTAAATTAGTGAAAATTGAATAAAAACAGAAGAATAGACGACTAGAGCGACTACAAGAGAGGAACGAGAACGTGTCGAGCAACAAATTAATAATAAAAAAAATAACGAAAAAAGAAAAAAAAAATAGAAATACAAATTGAAAACAACAACAAAGCAGCAGCGGCAGAAGCAGCAGCACCGACTGCGGATTTTAGGGGCAACGGCGGCACATTGAAAAGATGGGCTGTGGACAAAGCAAGATACATTTGTATCCCAGGAAATCGAAGAGTAAAGCCAACGGCAAGAAAGGAGGACATGGTGAGTACAGTGAGAGAAATCGCCAATTCTCCTAAAGGTCATTAATTATCCAAGATCAAAGAATCGGGCATCCCAAATATTTGTGAAGAAACGGAATTAAAATCAAAAGTATATAGAAATCGCATCGAAATCCTCCTATATAGAGTAATGATCTTTTAATAGCAAATTAAGTGTGATATTTATGTGTATGGAAGGGAGGAGAAGGAAAGTGGTGTGGTCGGTGGTGGGTGGCAGTAGGAGGGGCTGTATAGCCTCGCACAACAAAAGCTTACACGCATGACGACATCAATTTGCCTCCAGCTGTGTACGTATACTCTGCGCCAGTGTGTGTGAGCCACCTGTTTCAACACAATGAGGACATCATTGATTAATATGTCGCCAGGAGGGAGAAGAGGAGCATGGGGGCGAGAGCCAGGTTTTAAGGCCATGCATTCATCAAACTAATCAAATTTAAATCAATAATTTCATTTAAAAGTTGTTCTATGAATTAATGTTAAGGAAATCCTTTTTAAAAGTAACCTTGGGTGATACTTTATTATATGTTATAATACAGTGAATTATATAATAATATTTACGTACATGTAAAGATATTTAAGATTTTTAAGATTATTTTCCATAAGGTCTCTTAGTTTTTGATGTAGGATTTTATTTTTAAAAGAATATTTATGGATATCCTTCAAAGTAACCTCTGTGTATATGAACTTTTAAAATATCTATGATTTAAAATATTTCTATAAACAGTCTAGTATGTAGGGTATGTAGGGTTAAAGTTTCTACTGTTCTCTACAATAGAGTCTATATTTACAAAACACATACACTTTTTATCTAAAGTGTTTTGCCGTGTTTGCTCTTAAGTTTATAAAAATGTACAAGCCTAGCCTACATTGGAAACTTTTGACTATGCTCGGTTCCCGCCACCTCGCCACCCACACTCACCATTACACCCACCCGCTCTTTTGTCTGTGCGTCCCTGTGTGTGTATAATTAACTGCTAAAAAGGCAACTTGTTGTTGCAGCGGGCACCGCTACAAGGGGTGTGGCCGGCCTCCTTCTAGCCGACCCCCAGCCCCGAGGGGCTTGCCTGCCTCTTTCTGAGTTTGTCTGTGTGGAAAAGGGTTAAAGCTAAAAAAAAGTATAGCATACACAAAGGCGCCATTGTGCCATAAACGACCCAAATTTTTCGGAGACGCCTAAGCTTTAGTCGCACAGTCCTAGATTAATTATTCATAATACTCGGCTCGCTTTTTGAATTTGCATTAAAATGCATAACGGTTTTTAATTAAATTTATGGGTAGCAAGGCCACTTCAAAGAGAGGCCCAAGGAAATATTAAGTATACGCCGGTTAGGCCGAAAGCGACCCAAGATGGATTAGCAAAGAAAGCAACAAGGAAATGAATACAGTTTACAATTTTAGAATTTTAACTTGAGAAATAAATGTTAAATAATGTTACAAAAATAAGGATTATTTTTCCAAGTGATTATATATGTACTTGCATGTCGTACAATAATTTCAAGAAGAGCTTTCTAAGCAACCCCCCTCGAAGTTGAACCACTAGCTTTATTGCAAAACTTTTTGCCACTTTGCGGCACTCGCGAAATTGCCCACTCATCTTGACTAATGCTCGAAACTCTTGCCTGGCATTGTCCATTTGTTTTCAGCCGACTCAGACGCCGAAACGGACGAGGACGAAGGCCACATCGAGGACGCCGAGAAGGCACAGCAACGCGACCGCGAGAAGCACGACGAGAGCGATGAGTCAAGCAATAAGGATGTTCCGGATAGTGACGACGACGTGGCCGTCTCGCTGCTGCGCGCCAAGAATCTATCCTTGCTCCAAAGCCAGTAAGACATCCACCCCACCAACTAACCGAAAATAAACACCTCACCTTTCCAGGGAAATATCATCTAGCCAGCAGAACTTCTTCCGCATGCTGGACAAGAAGATTGATGAGGTGAGTGCATCTTCGATAGGATTACTCCTATTGACGCCTTCAAAGACCAATCAAAATATAATTAAAATACATCAAAAGGGGATTTCGGAATAATTATTCGATCATTATAATCTTTAACTTTTAGTCTTAAATAGCATGTTTAAAAACAACAAGCCATAAATAATGAATTTATTTTGACGCGCCAAAAACAAATTAAAGAAGCGACAGAATCATAAAATTCTATAGGAATGTTATGGCTTGAGAGATTTTTGGGGCCAGCGACACGTTTTTATACGCATCTATAAAATCATATTAAAATCGTTGATCTTTCCAGGGTCCCGACTACGACTCGGCCAGCGAGACGGAGATCGCCCTGGAGGAGGCCCGACTGAACGCCCTGCGCCAGCACTGGGAATCCGCCAGCCTGACGGCCTCCATCTGCTCCTCGGCCAGCCGGTCGCTGCAGACCACGCCCATCCGACAAGTGCAGGTGCCTCTGAAGCAGCCGCCTCGTGGCGCTGGCCTGCTGCTCCAACCCTCCAGTGCCGCCGCCGTCTCATCCGCGATGGTCAGTATCCCTGCGACGGAGTATCTACCTCAGCATGTGATGGCGGGGCGACAGCTGGCGGGGCAGCAGCAGCAGCAACAGCAAGTGCAAGTGCAACAAGTGCAACAGGTGCAGCAGCAACAGGCGGCGGTGCTCTACCAGCAGCAGCAGCAGCTGATCCTGCTGCCCCAGCTGGACGGGAGTGTCGTCAACACGTCCACGGCGGCAGCGGCCCAGCTCGCCCAACTGCAGCAGCAGCAACTCAGCCAGCAACAGCAACTCTATCAGCAGCAACAGCAGTATCTGTTGTCCCTACCCGCCGGTGCCAAGCCGCAGAGCGTCAGCCCCAAGCGCCTGCTGTACGGCAGTACCGTGGCCGGCGCCGTGCCGCCCGGCACATCCGCCTGCCCCCAGCCGGCGGCCCCTCCTTCCGTTCAGTATATCGCCGCTGGATCGCAAATGATGCAGCCGGGGGCCAGCGGTGGCTTTGTCAATGGCGCCGGCGCCATTTCCGGGATCGCAGCGGGCCGAGGACCCCTGCAGCTGGCTTACTATGGCGCTGCACCCCCGAGCACTGCCCCCCCGCTGGCGACGTCCGCTCCAATGGCCCCCGAAACATATGAACCGCCAACCGCTCCACACAGCCAAACTCAGCAGCAGCAGCAACAGCCGCCGCCGGGCGCCTACTACGGTGAGATGATGCACGGCGTCCAGGTGGGTTTTTGGAATACTTTTATTCTTTATGGTAAAATGTATAATTAAACACAATCCTTCCTTGCAGCCTGCCCCGGCGGTGGAGTACAAGTTCCCGCCGGCCATCAGTGTGCAACGGTTGGCGCCGCAGGTGCAGCGGCAGCTGCGAGAGACGCAGGAACTCATAAAAGACTCGTGCCCGCAACTGTATGCGGCGGGCTATGGCAGCCCAGGACCACCGATACGCAACCCCAACAGGAACCCCACTAGAACTAGACCCACCCTGGAGACTCAGTTCTCGCAGGAACTCTCGTGATATCTATATATGTAAACAGCCCAGCCAGCAGACACATTCAAGCACACACTCACCCCCAGCCAGTTGAAGAAACTGCAGCCAAAGAACAAGCAGGAACTTAACCAAAATTAGAAAAAAAGAAACCCTTAACAAAAAAAAGCAAGAAAAAAGCAAAAAAAAAAGATTCAAATCGAAGAAAATCAATTATAAAAATTGTAAAACTGCACTCAATGTTTCAGAACCCTCAAGAACCCCGCGGGCGAATTAGGCCCCCAAATATGCGTACTACTTACAAGAGCCAGATGAAGAGGAAGCCAGAACAACAACTACTACTAAACCTATGCGGAGCAACAAAAAAAGTTAAAAATAAATGAAATTATTAAAACTAAAGTAATTACTCAAGAGGCAGCCAAAGAGGAGGAGGAGGACGAGTAGGATAGGAAGGTAGCATGTTGGATCCGGATCCGAATCCGAAAGCGCAAGGTACATAGTGTTAGGAATCGAGTATAACGTTATAAAGCGATATATATGCAAATGCCACAAATAGGAAGGGAGCATAGAGGTGCAGAGACCCCCGCCCGAACAAAGCAAACACAAATCATACAAAGTAAATAATAATATAAAGTGTAACAAATACAAATGACTTCTACATTCTCACGCAATTTTGTTAGTCATAAATCTCGTGGTGTAATTTTTTAACAAATATTTTCCGTCAAATTCTCGAAATGGTGTAATAACGTTGACGTTTGAATATGAAGGACGATGGGATGTTCGTTGGATATGCAATTAAACGGATGACGCTGTCTAGTAATATTTGTATAATTTAGTTCTATTTATTATTATGATAATTTTGGATGTATAATAGTTTTTCTTATATGAATATATTTATATATATTTAAAATGAAAATAAAAGCAAATCAATTAAGTTTACGAAATTCGAAATTTAATCTGGAAGGGGGGGGGAGAAGCTGAAAATCAAAAGAAGAAACAACACCGTTTAACGTCTAATTAATTCCTTTATTTATATCTTGTGATCAATTCATACTCATGGGTTGACATAAAATGGAATCGCATTTTATATTTCTGAAAGTATTAAGTTGCTTTGTAGTTTGTAGCATGTTTAATTCTGTTATTGTTTGAAAATATCCAGCTAAGCAATTCATTAGACTAGTCACATAATATGGTTTAAGATGACATTATAATACGCATTTGATTCTAAGAAATTGACATGGTTTCTTATGTGTACGTGTGTCCGATAGTGTGAAAGTTATCATAACATAGCTTTCTTATATGTTATATGTATATGTAGTTATCCGATTTGTATCTCTAATCTCGTTTGGCTTGGGTGGTTTTTGTTTTTGTTTGTTGTTTGTTTTAGGAGCATTGCAAACACCTATTTTGCAACAATTGTAGGAATAGATTGGTACAATATTCGAGAATTGTATAAAGAAATCAAATACGCCCAGGGCCTTTGGAAAGATAAATGCCAACAACATCGATGATCGGCACTCGAATGCCCTAACAATTTGACTAAACCAAAGTCTTATTAACTAAATTGGGAGTACCTAGGTTCGTGGGAGGTTAAACAAAGAGATTTATCAAATTAAAAGCGTATTTGATTCCAGATTAAACCATATTACATAGCTACGGTGTGGGCGGAGGAGATCTACACAGAACGTACGAACGCTATCGACGACGCTCATCCAACATCTTCCCTATCAAGTCTGAAATGGTGATCGTTGTCGTGATTCGTGTACATGATGTGTATATGCATACTGGATGTGCGTATAATGGATGTGGTGTTTGGTGTATGGTGTGTAGTGTTTAGTGTGTGGTGTGTGGGGAAAGGAAATTACAGTAGAGTCGAATCTACGAATTTGGTATGCTAATGAAGCCTCTAGTTCTGCACGGGCAGCGGAGGCGGCGGGTAAGCGAAGACGTCCGCCGGCGTCGGCACTGCATACTGAGCTCGGTAAGAATAAGGCACCGCCACTCCTCCGCCGTTCAGCGACACGGTGGCCATGCTGGAGGACATTGACGAATACTGGCCGTACGGCAAAGCTCCTCCGGCCGCTAAAGCTGCGGCCGCCGGTTGAGCCTGATGCGCTTGGTGAGCTGGGTGGCCCTGATGGGCTTGGTGAGCTTGCGGAGTCGGGTGCTGCTGGGGCTGGTTCAGTGCCGGCGCCGGCATGTTGCCAAAGTTCATGTTGTACGGCGAGAAACGGGAACGCTTCTGGTCAATACCGTAGGCAGCATCAGTCACAAGATGTTGCTGTGCAGCCTGGGCCTGGGCCTGAGCCTGGGCTTGTGGCTGCTGATGCTGCTGGTGCTGGTGTTGGGCCTGCTGGGGAATAACTCCCGGTGCGTTCTGTGTCTTCGGCTCGAAACAGGCGGCATTCGGATTGAAGCGCGAGAATTGCACTCCGCCATTCTGCTGCTGCTGCTGTTGCTGGCCCTGGTAGCCACCGGCTCCCTGATTACCCTGGCCGCGATAGCCTCCGTTGCCGCCATGATTCGGGGGCGAGGTGCGTGGCTTTTGGTCGAAGCGTGGCGGTCCGCCAGCACCTCCTCCATTGAAACCATTGCGATTGCCTCCGGCGCCGTTGTTGTTGTTACGGTAGTCGCGGCCACCATTGTAGCCGCCGCCCATCTGCTGGTTGCGTCCCTGGTAGCCGTTGCCGCCACGGTAGCCGCCGCCCATACCGCCTCCGCGCTTGTTGTAGCCCCCGCTCATGGCCATGTTCATCAGTTTGGGACTAATGGTCTAGGTAATAAAACAAAATCAGTGTTTACTTTTGTAAGGAGACCAATCGATTAGGATCACTCACCTGGTTGGCCTCGCGCAGCACCTGGATCAGATCATTTGCCTTGTTGGCGTTGGAATGCGTGAACAGGGTGTAGGCCGTGCCCCTGTTGTTGGAGCGTCCGGTGCGCCCGATGCGATGCACATAGTCCTCCGAGTTGGAAGGATAATCGTAGTTGATCACAAACTTGACATCGTCAACGTCTGTTTCATTTGATTTATGTTTTTATTTTGAGTTTGGAGTTTGGAAATTGAAGAAGTGTGAAAAGAAATGTTAAAAATATCGAATCGATGCAAGGGGACAAGTCAGAATAGGAATCTTTATCTCAAAAGTTACTCAAAAAACTATCAACAAAAATGAAAACTTATTTTTGTGTGTGTGTGTAGGTAATTAGGTGTTTATGTGGTCGGTTCTGTCGGGGTGTCTGGTGTTTGGTGCGATTGTTTGTTTGTTTAGTTAGGTTTGTTAATTGAACTTAAAAGTATACTCGATCGAATCGTTGAATGGAACAGTCGGAGTCGGTTTTCGGTAATTCGGTTTGTATTCTTATTTTTGTTTGTTTTGTACTTTGAACAAAAATTTCGCCATCAATACTATTAGCGTATATTAATAACTATACATCTTTGGCAAATAGATATATGTTCTTTCTATACTGCAGAAATGTGGACCTCGACCTTTTCTTCTCATCATATCATACTTTCTCAATACACAAATCGTAATATAATGTTCTTAAAGCTTAATGCATACAAGAGACGGCTTGATTGATAATTAAGGTTACAACTAGTAGAGTATAGGTCTATGATTATGCGATGCACGATGTAAGCTAATGATGTTGGGTGCTGGGATTACGAGGAGAGGAGTTTCGGTTAGTCGGCTCGATGGGAGGTCGGTCGGGAGGAGGGTGCGGATCATATTACTATGACAAGATATGGAAAAATTAAATTAGCCTAGTACTTACCCAGACTGCATTGGTTAGCTACAAATAACAGTTAGGCTTACGCTCAAGAGTCCCTGAAGATCCTGTCCTCGCAACAATCCCAGGGCTGTGGCGATTGAGATCTCCTTCGGAAACCTATTAACTTATAACTCAACCCTCAACTTGTATATATAGCTTTTATCTTTAACTGCTTTGTGTATACAACTTTGAAACTTTAACTTTTAACTTTCTTTTTTAACTTTTTTCTTAAAACTTTTGCCATTGGAAAAATCGAAGTCCATTTCATAAAGTGCTGATGATATTTTTGTTCACACACAAATTTAGGTTTTATACATAGAGTAAGGATCGACGTAATATAATATAGAATACTTTATGTTACATAAATAAGCTACGAAAAATTAGCATCAGTCAAAAAATTCTTGGGCCGCAAAATGCTATAATTACTCAACACATTAGTTAGTTCATATGATACGTAATAAAAAGAATATTTAAAAAATAAGATATATTTTTAAGGCACAGGATTATTGAACTGCCTTGGTTTTAAGGGTTGTTATTTTGAGGTGCACCGAGATTATTTACTTTAATTTTAGTATATTTTGCTTGGCCATCGACTCCTTGACTGACAGTAAGTGGCATTATATGGTAAGGTTACTCAAAATGTGATTGACGAGACACAACTAAAGGCTATGAGCAAGAGAGCAACAAACAAACTAAAAGTAAGTAACATTATATAACCAGCAATGCATGGAGAACAAACACATTCCCCTCATTATTATTTAGCCCACACCATTTCTTCGTATTTGGAGTATATTTCGGGAGAAACTAAAAGGGGGTCTATGGGTGCACAGTGGTCGCACCACTTCAAAGTCCGTAATCCCCAAAAGGCAGTCCCGCAAAATAATAATAATGGGATAGGTAAAGGCCTCTCCCTAACGGAGGCTGCAAACAGAGATTTGAACATGCAGAATTGAGATGATGGGGTCCTTTTCCGGCTTCCACTACCCCTGTTTCACTTAGCCCCTTAGCTGCCTTAAAAAAAAAAGGATTTAAATGTTACTTTTGGGACTTTGAATTAAAAGTCCATGCAATCCAAAACGTTTGTGGCTAAAATATAAGTTACTTCAAGATGCAGCCAGGCGCTTAGATTCTTACAAATAATTAACACTACGGTACCAATTGAGTTTATGGAAAAAAAATATATAATAATCTAAGGAATAAACTTAGACTACCCCTTCGAACATTAATTGTCAAGTGAAATCCGGAAGAGACCCGAACCAAACCAAAACGAAAAGCACCTACAAAAATCCGGAAAAGACAGAGCGGAAGGAGGCGAAGAGGCTGGGCGGTGTTGGTCGATTCATCGCTGACGGGTCGCTGAGACCAGACGAACCAGGAGGCGTCGACCGCCGACCGTCGACGACGAATCACAAAATAATTAATGAAACCCCACGGGATGCTGATTGATCCACAGGCAAAAATTGCTTGGTTATGGAGAGAGAAACGTAGGGCGAACGTGTCGCCGGTCCAAGACGGGGATACGTTTACTCACCCAGTCCGCGAGCAGCCACGTCCGTGGCCACCAAAATCGAGTGACGGCCGTTGCGGAAACTCGAAAGAACAAAGTCGCGTTCCTGCTGCGACTTGTCGCCGTGGATGGCGCAAGCGCGCCAGCCCTGGCGGGAGATATTGCGGGTGATCTCATCGACCCGCTTCTTGGTCTCCACGAAAATGATGGTCTTTGTCTCGCTCTCCGCCGAGATGTCCGTCAGCAGCTTGACCAGCTTCATAAGCTTCTCGTTCTCGTCGCAGACGTCGACGATCTGCAGAATGTTGTGGTTGGCGCTAAGCGACAGCGACCCAATGTTCACCTGGATGTAGTTGTTCAGGAACTCCTCGGCCAGCTGGCGGACCTCTTTGGGCCAGGTGGCGGACCACATGAGAACCTGGCGATCCGGACGGATCTGCTGCATAATCTTCCTGATTTGAGGTTCGAAGCCCATGTCCAGCATGCGATCGGCCTCGTCGAGCACCAGGTAGGTGCATCGCTTCAGCGAGGTGGTGCCTCGCTCGAGGAAGTCGATCAACCTGCCGGGCGTTGCAATGACGATCTCAACGCCGCGCTCCAAATCTCTAGCCTGCTGGCCCTTGGGTGCTCCGCCGAAAATGCAGGTATTGCGCACATGAGTGTTGCTTCCAAACTCGATAGCCACTTGCTGGATCTGCTGCGCCAGCTCGCGAGTGGGTGCCAGAACCAGAGCAATGGGTCCATCGCCGCGCTCCAGGCGCGGTTGGTTGTTGATGTGGACAACAGCTGGCAGCACATAGGCCAGGGTCTTGCCCGATCCTGTCTGGGCCACACCCACTAGATCCCTGCCGCTCATCGCGATGGGCCATCCCTGAGCCTGGATAGCTGTGGGCTTGGCAAAGCCTTGCTTGCGGATCTCGTTCATCACGTAGTCTGGGAAGCCACCCTCCTCGAACTCAATGCTCGGAGTGGGCACCTGGTCGCCCTTTATGGTGATCTCATTGTTGGCGAGGAAGGTCTCGGTTTCGCCTTGTGTGCGGGCCAGCACCGAGTCGCAGGGCTTGTAGAAGTTTTTGCGGAAGGGGGTTAGGTTCACCTCCGACCAGACGATCTTTGGGAGGTGAGCACCGTGGTTCGATGACCGCTGGCCACCGAATCCTCCGTCGTTGCGTGGGACACCGCCCCCTCCGCCGCCGCCGCCATTCATGCGTCTTTGGCCGCCGTTAACTGGTCCATGTCCATGACCATTGAATCCCGGGTACGGTGCAGAGCGATTACGCTGGAACATAGCGCCGCCGCCGGGAGCTCCGCCGCCCATGCGGGGATTAACATTGGCATTGGGATTGGGCAGCATGCCGCCTCCACCGCCACCGCCACCGAAGGCGTTCACCTGTCCGTTGTACCTGAAACGAGGATCGGGGTTCAGTGCCATGAATTTGAATTTTGAGCGTTTTTTAACCAAAAAGCCAAAATAATAAAATTTTCAGCGCGAGCGTTCGAATAAATTTATGTAATTTTCATTTTTTACTGTCACTACCCAAGTGCCAAAGTGCCATTTTGAATTTATTGATTTTCTACCCTCGGCTCCCCCGCCGCATGACCCACTGAAAATCGGCAGAAAAACGCAAGGACGTGTGACAAAACAACTTCTACTTACATGTTCATTGTTGGGATGATGCAAGTGGTAAGATTGCTGGCCAAATTAACGTTGTGGGGGGCACTTTTTTAATTTTTTCACTTCACAATTTTCCAGCTCCTACGTCGTCAATAAAAGCAGTGTGACCGGGTGTGACCGCTACCTTTCCTACCTGGCAAGTGCTGGAAAGTTCTGTGTCGGTGAGTGCTGCAAAAGGGTTGTTTCTGTCTCTTTGGTCACATTAAGGCTTCTACAGTAGGCACATCCAGAGAACAATAAGAAAATGTTACAGAAATACTTTTTACAAAACTACATAAACAGATATTTTTGTGTGAGTGACACTTTCAACTAGGGGTGCAGGAAAATCGAGTGACACATCGATACTATCGGTGTTTCCAAAAAAATTTAGAAAACGGTTTTGTTTTAAAACATTTTTTAACATTCAAAGTTAATTTAAATTTTTTAATATTCAAAATTTTAGCTTATAATAAAAAACAACATTCCGCATTAAAAATAATTATTATTAAAAAAAACCATTTGCATCATATTTGATGCCCACTGTACTTCTTTAGCAAACAAATACGGCCATATCGGCCATACTTATCAACGATATACATAGTTCATAGAACATTTAATAAACAATGCGTACAAGCTATAAGAAGAACCGACCATTTGATTTTAAACTAATAGACCTGGTAGAACCCAATCCTGTGCTGTACCAGCGCTCAGGACTATCCAATTATGAGGCTATGAAAGCCAAAACCGATATCTGGACCAGAATTGCTGAGAACATGGGTTGTGATGGTTAGTTATTTTATTTATATTGTCTTTAACAACATTAAACAATTTAATTCCTTATCCTTAGTGGATTTCTGTTTAATGCGCTGGAACAACCTTCACTATCAGTTTCGGAAAGAGTTCCGAAGAGCCGACAGCAGCGGGTCCACTTGGCCATATTTGGAACGCCTGCGTTTCTTGGCCCATAATCCTCAGCGACCGAGAAACAAGAACAAAAGTAAGGACAAGGATTCGCCGGATAAAAGGGAGTCGGTGAGTCATGAAGCAACGCTTTGGGAGGCCTACGAAGATGGGGAAACCATAGGCCAGCCCGGAACTTTCATAATCGAGGAAATCATCGAAGAGAATGATCAAATCATCCAGGAAGAAATCATTTACGAAGAAGTGGACTCAGATTCAGCTGAGACACTATCTCCCAGCAGCAGCTTTCTCCAAGTAGACCGGATGCTCGCTCAGCTAAGGGAGCCCCATCGAAGGCGAGCAGAACGAAGGATAACCGCCTTTCTGCTCAAGTGTCAGTTGCGTTCCCTGAGTAATCAGTCCGTGGAAGACCTGATCATTTAGCTTTACACAATTTCAACTTTATTTAACAGAAAAAATAACTAATATTACACCTTGCACTTGTCCAAGTCCAGCCAGGCCACCTTGGGCTTGGTAATAAACTGATCGCGCGACAAACTGTCCAGCATGACCGCCTGCTGGCGGACATACTTTACCAGTCGCTCGATTTGGACATAGTCGTCGCAGTTCATCTCGAAGAAGCGACGCCACAGGGCGCCGGCTAAGACTATATCGTCAGACATGATTCCTTCGTCGTAGGCAATCAATGCTGCCTGGAACTGCTCGGACAACGTCTCGATCTGTTGCCGCGTGCGCGACGGGTTGTTAGCCTGCAAGGAAACATAAGAATGAGCAGAGGTTTTGGATGAAGTTCAGTCTTAACTCACTCCAAGCTTTTTCGCGCGAGTGTTGACGTCTCCCCACATAGCCTCCACGATGCAGTTGCGCAGGAAACGACCATCCTCGCCTGTTTCCGAGCCCTCGGCCATAGCTCGCATCAGTAGGAGCCACACATGCAGTTCTGTGACCAGGAACCAGGAGTTGAAGGTGTTGGGAAGTTTGAAGTCGTTGAAGAAGGCCACATAGTTGATCTTGTCGGCCACACTCTCGTATAGCATATGGCTGGTGACTTTAAGGCGCTGTTAATAAATGAATATCACTAAATATTTTTAAAATCTTGAATATTTCTTTTCCATACCGCTTTTGTGTTTGGCGTAAAGCCCACTTTGGTCAGTACTCTCTTCAAGATTCCGCCTTCTGAGGAGGCTGCAGGGCTGGGCTTTGCTTTATTTGCGGCATCTACGACGCCGGTGTTTGAACACAGGCGGCAGGACTGTTCGAAAACAACAGATAACGCCGCAGTCTGTTTAAAATGTTGTTGTGCTACCTGCCGGGAATAAAAATTATAGTCGCGTTTATATAAGACTTTAAATGCAGCGCAGCGGTAAGTTGAATTAAACAGGAAATGTCTTATTTCCTAACCATACCCATGGGTTCCTCGCTATACCCCCGGCCAGTCGTGCAGCTGCCCGCGTGCAGAGCATTTTAAAAGTTCCTAAATTCACTAAAACAAAGTTATTTAAAAAAACTTATTGCACGCGACAACAGACCAAAACAGCAGTGTGACCAATATTTCATAGAGTAAAATACCAAGACAGAACTAACAGAGCTCTGTTAAGTCGCAATTAACATGTGTGACCGGATTCTTACAGAAGTCTTCGTAATGGAATTGTAAATAAATAAAAGTAAATAGGAATTAAGTAAAAAAACTCACAAAAAATGCTGCGTTTTGGTACACAATTGTGGCGGCAAGTCCCTTGCACTAAGCTGAGGGTGTCTGGAATGCCGGTCTTCAGAAATACACTTCAATTGGTGACCAGGAAGATGACACAACAGCGGCCACCGGTGGATTTCACGACAAGTATTCGCACAAAATCGGCCAAGGATAGTGAGAAGATCACGGCCCTTGGTTGGTTCCTGCTGGTAACCCACAACTTAACCCCTTTTCTATGATCTGGCCTAATCCTTATGCTTCCGGTTCCTTCTAGCTTATTCCCACCACCACTTTTGGCCTGGGCTGTTGGCAAGTGAAGCGCAAGATCTGGAAGGAGCAACTGATAGAGGAACTAAATGACCAGTTAAGTCAACCACCAACACCTCTTCCTGAAGAGTAAGTATTAAGGAACATATACTCCCTCCCTTATAATATTATAATGTACAAACGGATTATTGTTGCAGCCTCAGCGACCTGTCTCATATGGAGTACCGTCTAGTCAAGATTCGTGGTCGCTTTCTTCACGATAAGGAAATGCGCATGGGTCCTCGATCACTCATACGCCCCGATGGCGTGGAGACGCAGGGAGGCCTCTTCTCCCAAAGGGATTCCGGCAATGGCTACCTAATAGTTACCCCCTTTCAGCTGTCGGATAGAGAGTGAGTCCGTCCGTCCAAAATCGGGGCTATAAACTAAACACCTTGCGTTTCCCCAGCGACATCGTTCTAATCAACCGAGGATGGGTTTCCCGAAAACAAGTGGAGCCAGAAACTCGAGCCTTGGGTCAACCCAAAGAGGAGTTGGAACTCACAGCTGTTGTGCGCAAAGGAGAAGCTCGTCCCCAGTTCACTCCCGACCACAAGGATGGCAAAGTGTTCCTCTATCGCGACCTGAGTCGTATGTGCGCTGCGTCGGGAGCTGCCCCCGTCTTCTTAGATGCCACCTACGACGCCAAGTCGGCGCAGAACGGGCCCATTGGAGGGCAGACGCGGGTCACCCTGCGCAATGACCACCTCTCGTATCTCATCACCTGGTTCAGCTTGTCGGCAGCCACATCCTTCCTCTGGTACAGGCAGATAGTCAAGAGGATACCTTTTTAGAGGATAATTGAAACGCACCGTTGTTATTTTTATAAAATTTACATGCTCTCGTGTAAATGCTTGTTTTATTGAGCCCCGCAGGTGAGGATTGTCCTGCGGTGGTATATATTGCCACACGGTAATAGATATAGGAATACAAATACGGTTTCGGGGACTCCCCTCGGACTTGCCAAGCGGAATACTTTAACTATATATGAACACACACACTTTAGAATGGCTCGACTTTTAGAAAGATACGAAATTAATGGAATTATTCCTTAAAACTTTTACAAATTCGTCCTTTAAGTTAATTGTTTATGAAATGTATATGCAATTTTCCAATAATATTATAATTAAGTTATAGATACAAGGGTTTCAAGTAGTGATGATTCAAAATTCACAGGAAAACTAAACTAAAAATTTAGAATTGCACTCCAAAATTAGGAAATTCTTGGTCTAGAACTCGTGCCCTCGAGCCACTCTTACACACACTCAGATACGGATATTTACAATTTAGTCTCGCAAATACTGGAAATTTCGCCAACTTTAAGTGTAAATGCCACCACCGCCGCCCCCCTCTGCGCCTAAAGCTGCGGCACAATGCCCCAGGACCTCAGCAGTCCGGCGCGTTGGTACTTCTTGCCGATGGTCTGGACGTGGAAGCCGATCTGCTGCAGTCTCTCGTGGTCGAGGATCTTGCGACCGTCGAAGATGTAGGCCGGCTTCATCATCGACTGGTAGATGCGTTTGAAGTCCAGGTCCACAAACTCGTCCCACTCCGTGCAGATGACCAGAGCATGGGTGGCTCTCACCGCACTGTACGGATCGCTGTGGATCTGGACGGCCTCCTTCACGTACTCCGGCGACTCCGTGACCGAAGGATGGGTAAGGTCATCGATAATCTGTTCGGGCTCCACCTTGGGATCGTAGATGTCCAACTTGGCTCCCTCCTCCAACAGGGTTTGGCACACAGTTATGGCAGCCGTTTCACGGGTATCGCCCGTATTCTTCTTGAAGGCAAAGCCCAGGATGGCTATCCGCTTGTCGGACACCGTGTTGAACAAGCTCTCGATGATCTTCTGCGAGAATCGGCGTTTTTGGTATTCGTTCATGTCGATCACCTGCTGCCAGTAGGCAGCCACCTCCGGCAGATTCAGGTTCTCGCAAATGTAAATCAGATTCAGGATATCCTTCTGGAAGCAGCTGCCCCCGAAGCCGACCGACGCCTGCAGGAACTTGGATCCGATGCGGGAGTCCAAGCCCACGGCTCGAGCCACTTCGGAGACATCTGCTCCGGTTGCCTCGCAGACCGCCGACAGGGAATTGATGCTGGAGATGCGCTGGGCCAGGAAGGCGTTCGCCGCCAGCTTGGACAGTTCACTGCTCCACGTATTGGTGGTCAGGATGTGCTGCTTGGGTATCCAGTGCTCGTAGATCCACGACAGCTTCTCCACGGCCTTGTGTCCCTCGGGTGTCTCCTCCCCACCGATGAGAACGCGATCGGCATTCAGGAGGTCGTTGATGGCCGTGCCCTCGGCCAGAAACTCCGGATTGGACAGGATGTCGTAGTGGATGCCTGGCTTCTGGTTGGCCCGGAGTATGTGCATGATGCTCTCCGCCGCACGTACCGGCACCGTGCTCTTCTCCACCACAATCTTGTTGGACTGGGCGATCTCGGCAATCATTCGCGCTGCACTCTCCACATACTTGAGGTCCGCCGCGCGACCTGAAGTGAAGGAAGGGGATTACTTCAAGAAGCTACATTATGGCAGTATGTGCCCCAACTTCTACCATGTTCCTAAGCCTTAAATGCTCGTCAAATCAATTACAACTTGTCAACAAACATTTATCAGGTAGAAGCTAATGGAACACAACAGCCTTGTCTTTAATCTTCTAATGGCACCTCTTTCGTCATTTTAGGAGATATACTAACCCTTGCCACTGCCGCAGGTTTTGGTGGGCGTGTTCACGGAGATGAAGATGAGATCGGCCTCCTTGATGGCCGTCTCGATGTCCGTGGAGAAGAACAGGTTCACATTGCGACACTTCTTGACCACATCATCCAGGCCGGGCTAGAAGCACCAAGAAGTTAATTAAAATATCTGTCAAGTTTTCACAAAGTGCTGTCCTAGTTTTCTATTCTCTTGGCATGCCGATCACGACCCACTCCTCAAACCACGCCAAGCTCTTGGTGACGCCTCCATATGGCTCGCCCAGATAAGATTATTCCGCTCTAAGTATTTTTGTATTTCTGTACGTGGACCTTATCCGATTCCGTTTCCTAAGAAAAGTATCTTCCAATTAGCCCCGCATTCGTTCTGTTTACGTGCTTAAGTTGCTACTTTAAACGTTGTGATTAAAAAATTATAGGACAGGTTCTTCCCGTGACTCAAGGTAGTGATACTTATACAATATTCATATTGCACTTTACAAGCCGTCCATTCATCGATTCGGCCAGACTTCCGAGTGGGATCTGATTTGAATGTTCATTGAACTCGATTGGCACACAGCCAGAATTTGCATACGTATTTATGCGGATTTCTCGGAGGCAGGTGTTAATAATTGTCTGTTTTTTTCCAAAGAAATCGGAGTAAACTTGAGATTCCATCTATTTTTGAAGTTAATTCATTAGCGGAGCGAAAGAAAGTTTCAGAGTGTATGGAGTGATGTCGCAAACGACATTGATAAGTTTTCGCGATCATTGCATAATGGGAACAGACACTAATGAGTTCTCCGCGGGGAGTCGGAGCTCCCGACAACAACAGAGCCAATGGGCCAATTGTGCAAATGCGAAAAAATAGTGGCGGATGGTGTTGACAAGGCCACTGTGATATTTCCAGCAAATTGCATCCGAGCACTCCAATATATGACCATTGTTTGCCAACGATGATGCAATCTGGCCAGGTGGATATCAATAAAAAGAATTGGCTGCCTCAGCCTCAGTCAGGGAGTAGTTCAAGGCAATATCTGATGGTGTGATTTGCCATTAAAATAAGAAAACTAATTAGCTTTAGGCCTTAAAAAGAATTAATCAATCATGTAGAAAATTGCGACCGATATTTGAGTCATTTGAACGGGTGTACTGTATGGGTGTATTTATTTTTCGCGTTTTTCCCCCACAGAGATATGCGAGCGGGTGTAGGTTTGTCGAGAATGTGGGTAATTGGACAATTTCCAACTAATGTGCCCGCCTGGCTGGCTAACCCCCAGAACACCCGGACCCTGTACGCGCTGCTTATCGGCTCCCCAGACGCTGATTTGGTGCAGACCCGATAAGAGACCCACTACGAGTATTATAATAATACTACGTAGCGGCAAAGAATGGGGGCAGGCGGAAGCCAGGGCGGAAATGCGACAGTAAAAATGGCACAGTGACGAGCCACAAAAAATAACTCGAAAAGCTGCTTATACCTTATGGCTTCTTTGGGGTATTGGGTTGTTCTACACTCTGCATCTGAAGTCGAAGCTCTAGCTCCATGGTCGCGCAGTCTGGAAAGTAAAATCGATTCCCACGCTTGTTTTCCGACTCCAATAATCACTTTTCTGCCTATGACTGGGTAACCTGCCTATGACTGGGTGGTGTGTGAGCATTTAATAGTTTGTTTGGCCGACAATTATGTTTATGAATAACGAATGGCCATAAGAAGAGGGCTGGCTGACCATTGGCCTTGTTGTAAGCCAGGTTTGAAGCTTCAAAAAAGCACTTCAGAGTTTAGAAAAATGCGAGACACGCATGGATTTATAAAAAAGACACTGAGACTAATAATCTCAGATATTCATCTTTCTTTTCATATTTTCTCGTTAATTTTATTTAAATCACAGAAAATAAGATCAAGACACTTTTTAAAAAATAGAATTAATTTTTTATTTTATTTAAGAGAAGAGAAATTTCTCCCAGTGTACCCAAACTGGTTTCTTTGGGACGGAGGGAGCGTGAGGCCTGTCCACTTGAGCATGAGCGGTCAACGACGTTTCGAGTTCTTCTCGATGGATCTCCAGCTTGATTGATGTTCTGTTTGTTTAGGATTAGTGTGGAAATGGAAAGCCCCGAAAAGAAATTGCAAGGCCAAGGCGTGAGCCCACACACACTCTCCCGCCGCTTCCCAATAAACATACAAACACCGCACCGAGTCATCCCTACACTGAGAACTTCCTATGTACATACACATTTGCGGGACGAGGCCAATTTGAAAAGAAACCAACCTCGTAGATGGGCAATTTATCGGAATTCCACTGGGCAATGCGCTCGGAGCTCTTGTCCACCAGGGTTATCACGATGTCCGGGCATTTTAGCGCCATGACCGCACAGGTCGGACCGCCGACATATCCAGCGCCAATGCAGCAGACCTTCATTGCACTTTAGTTCCGATTTTGGTTTGTTTACGTTAGAAATCCCACTATGGTTGTGTGGTTCTTGGGTCCCTTTCCTGCGAGCCGTCGCGGTCTTTCCGTGTTTTTCGATTTGTATTTTCGCGGAGCGGTGCGAAGCAGCAGCGGTAACAGCGCGAGTAACAGTAACTACCACCCACAAGTAACAGTAACTCCCACCCGAGACCCGAACGCGGTAATTTGGTAGAGATGTTGAAAATATACAATTACATATCGATATTTTCATCGAGGTTTCCAGCACTATTTCGACTTATCGAGCTGTACAACACTGTAACGACAGGGCGGGAAGGACTAAAAATTCATTTCAATTAAGCTTAACTGAAATAACGTAAATAAAAAACTTAAGAACTAAGCGGCAGGGCGGCTTGACTAAAAATAAATTTAAACGCTAAACAGAAAATAAATAAACCATACAAAACTTAGAAACATCATCATGCATTTTATTATTAACTTAAGAATTTAAAGAAATAAAATAAAAGTACCAAAAATTACACGTATAACTCAATATTAGCTTGGAAAAAAGAGGAATCAATATGAAACAAAATTCTTAATTAATTAAAAAGATTTAATACGAATTATTATTTAAAGAAGATTTCTAACTTAATAGAACTATTAAAAATAGCATTTATTTCCCACGTTTTAAGGATAATTTAAACGAAAAAATCTCAACACTTCCTCACATCCGGCACAATTCCACACTCGGCATACGGATCCTTCTTGTCCTCCTTTTTGGCGCAGGGAGGGCATTCTACGCAGCACAGATCGTCCTTGGGCGTGGCCTTCAATAGCCCGTCGATGTTTTCGCCCTTCACCGATTTCAGATTTGTTCCGGAATTGACTCTCGAAGGCACTTCGCTGAACTTGTTCTTGGATGTGGCCTTGGGAAGCGAGTATCTGGGCCCTTCTGGAGGATTAGGTCGGCCCCAGAATTCTCGGGGCACATCCCAAATGATGAGGGATCCGTCCGTGCTTCCAGTTACGAACATGCTCATGCAGGGACTGTAGGCGCAGCTGATCACAGAGGAGGCGTGCTCGGAGCCCAGACCGACCACGGCTCCACTGTTGTAGTTCCAGAGCTTCACCTGGAGATCACTGCCCACGCTGATGAAGTAGTCACCAGTGTCATTGATGGCCAAGCAATTCACAGACGATTTCTTGGAGGCAGTAAGTTCACGGATCAGAGCTCCATTATAAACCATCCAGTAGATGATCCGCCCGTCTGAGCCGCACGTGATCACCTGGACTCCAGTGGGGAAAAATGCGGCAGTCATGAACTGTGTGTTGGCGGTAACCACTTGTTTGCGGGTCATTCGCCTGCCAAGCATTTTTTAATGATTTTAATTCCTTAGGAAGTTAATTCTACAACTTACTTGATATCCCATATCACACAGGAGCCATCGGTGCAGGCGGATATTACTTCCGTGTCCAGATAGTTGATATCCAACGAGGTAATGGGCCCTGAGTGATCCTTAAGGACACCTAACAGGGCCTGGCGGTAAGGCTCGATCTTCCACACACGCACTTGACCTTCAATTCCACCCGTTACAATCAGGCGGCCAGTGGAAGCCACTGCCAGGGCGCTACATCCTGGAAATGGTTTAGAGATCTATCATCAACCTGGTAAGAGGACCATGGGATACCAACCTTTGTTGTGAGAATTCGGAATGGCATAAATAAGTCTTCCTGTGATTGGGGTGAACGCGCGAATGATTCCATCATTCCAAACAGAGACGATGCTGGTTCCGTCGTGGGTGAAGCGAACACAGGCACAGTTGAAGTTGTAGACCATTATACGGAGCAGTTCCTGTTTCCTCCCAGAGGACCAAATACGGATGCTCTCCTCTCCCGCCGTGGCGAACACGGCAGAGTAATTTCTGGACAAACAGAATTTAAGATTAAAAGCGCTCCAGAGGTGGCATAAACATAAACACTTACTTGGGGAACGTAATACAAAAGACAGACTTGGTGTGGCAGGTTCGCAGGAGCTTCAGTACCCAGGTGGTAATTTTTAGGCCGTAGATTTCGTTAGTATCCGTGCATATGTAAAACATGTCCGTAGTGGAGCGCACGAACGAAGAAATCCTGCCGGACACATGAGTCTTTTTCAAAGTGCGAAGATACGGCCATGTTGGGCCTGGATACTCCCGGAAATTAATCAACGGAACGTCTGTTCGCTCCTCCACCAGCTCTATGTCCCCGTTGCCCGCCCCAATCAACAGACGTCCTCCCTCGAGGATGTACAGGGCCCGTACCCCATTGACAAAACGATTGCAATCCTTGCCAGATGGCTTTCGGGGATTGTGTGTGCCAAAGGCACCTAGGATGCAGCTGGTGGAGCCTGGTCTGCTTACATGATCCTTGTCGCAGCAGTTGAGCACGATCTTCACGATGTCGCCCGTGCCCGTGCCCAGATAGGCAAACTCATCCGTTTTGTTGATGCGAGCGCAGTAGAACACACGAGTCTTGCTGGCCATCAGCACATCCTGGACGTACAGTTTCTTCTGCTCGCGGAGGATACTCCAGAGCCGCAAGTGGCGATCACCGGCAGTCACAAAGAAGTACGGATTGTTGTGCAGCGGTCGGACAGTCAGAGCGTTTCCAGAAATGGCCCGCGAGGCAGGTGTTTGGCAAATGGGAGAGCTAAAGCGTGAATCAGGATATAGTTATGGCAGAAGAAGCCCCTTCCATAATACTCACAATGTTTCCATGTCAAAGACGATGACAGAGCCGTCATCTACTCCTCCAATGGACACCACGCAACGGTCCTCGGCGGTGAAGCAGATGGCCTGGACCGACACCTTGTGCAGGTCATGCCGGGCTATCTCCTTGCGGCTGTCGTAGTCCCAGATGATCACATATCCCCGAAATCCCATGTGGTTGATCTGGCCGGAGGCCAAGTACTTGCCGCTCTTGCTCAGATCCAGGCAGGATATGGTGTTGGTGTGTCCTGCCACAAACTCCTGCGTGTTCTTCTTGTAGTCGGCGATACCGATCTTGTTCCCCAAAGCAAAGATAATGGACCCCGTGCGCGGATGCTGGCGCACTCCATTCTCCACCTTCCCGTTGATACCAAAGATTGCGCGCGGAAGGAGCTGCCTGCAGGCATCCTGGGCTTCGGCCATTGTTATTTGACTTTAGTAAAATATACGAATCGATGTTGTATCATAAGACGGGGTTTGTGTCGGGGCTGGATCGAATTATTTGAAGGTTTCCAGCCGGCTTGTTTTCTGTTTGAAAACAATGCCTATTCGGTTTCGGATAGCGACCGTTGCCCGGTTGCCGTTGCTAATGTTAATGTTTTCTATTTAAAATTAAACTTGCAGTTTTGAATTGAGTCTAAACACATTCTACACGAATCTACACTCTCTGCAGGCATATACACAACGTACATATATGAGACAAATTGAATTGGATCAGTGGACTATATCTTAAAGCTATCTTAGTTATATTTTCAAAAAGCTTTCTTTTTCGAATACTTTCTACAAAAAAGCGATTAAATTCTTAAATTCTTAATTATAAATAATTTTATTTGCTTTTCTATTAGTATTTCAAAAGTATTGGACATTTTTTAACCTATACATTTAGTTTCCTATCTTTAAGTTTGAATTTCCCGCCCATTAAAAAATCAGCTGATTGGTGCCACGATAGTTGGCAACGCGATGTTTTTGTTTTGCTTATTTTGCAATTTTCCTCGCCGTTTCTTTGACCGGCGTACCGAAAAGAGAGAGCCAATAATCTGAGCAAGAACATAACATATAGCGGTGCCTATATATAGAGCTCCCTCTTGGTTGCAGTACTAACAGTTCAGCGGCGAGCGGCGTTCGAGCTAATCAAATAATCAGAATTTGCAAGTGACCAAGGCAAACAAAGGAGAACTCCAGACAAATGGTTTCAATGGTGGGCGTTTTGCCGCCCCTGGGACTGGCGCTTGTTCTTCTGGGACTCGTGTCTCCTATCACTGGAGTATGGTTCCGGCGTGGTCGGTTAAGCAATGGATTCCTGGGAGAACCCAGCAAAGTGGCCACGCTCCAGAGATCCCTGGAGTCTGAGGATCTGTGGTTCCAGCAGCGTCTGGATCACTTCAAGCCCAGCGACACGCGAACCTGGAAGCAGAGATACTACCTTAATGCAGATCACTACCGAAATGACAGCACTGCCCCTATATTCCTGATGATCGGCGGCGAAGGCGAAGCCACGGCCAAGTGGATGCGGGAGGGGGCCTGGGTGCACTACGCCGAGCACTTTGGAGCCCTGTGTTTCCAGCTGGAGCACCGCTTCTACGGCAAGAGTCATCCTACAGCCGATCTGTCCACCGCAAACTTGGCATATCTGAGTTCCGAACAGGCTCTGGCGGATCTGGCCAATTTTGTGTCCGCCATGAAGGTGAAGTTCAACCTGGCGGAGACTCAGAAGTGGGTCGCTTTCGGCGGCTCATATCCGGGATCATTGGCCGCCTGGGCTAGGGAGAAGTACCCTCATCTCATCTACGGGTCCATCAGTTCCAGTGGCCCCTTGTTGGCCGAGGTGGACTTTAAAGAGTACTTCGAGGTGGTCAAGGCTTCTCTGGCTTCCTTCAAACCCGAGTGTGTGGAGGCAGTTACCCGGAGCTTTGCCCAGGTGGAGATTCTACTGAAGCACATGATTGGCCAGCGCAATCTGGATGAAAAGTTCAAGTGGGTACAGAAAGAGAACTAGGGCAATCATATTGTTTATTTGAGACTAAGGTTATATGAAGGAGACACTATCACTTACAAGTATTCTCTAATCTCTCAGAACTTGCACCCCCATCAAGGACTCGATTGAGAACACCCTGGACATTGCCAACTTCTTTGAGAATCTGGCTGGCAACTTTGCAGGCGTGGTCCAGTACAACAAGGACAACAGTCCACATGCCACCATAACCATTGATGATGTACGATTCTCATATAAAAATATCAGATATACCGACCCTATACCGAGATGTACTGACTAATAACCCTCTTAAAACCCACAGATCTGCGATGTGATGCTCAACACCACGATTGGACCCCCAGTGACCCGCCTGGGCGTGGTAAATGGAATGCTACTAAAGGAATCCAACACCACCTGCTTGGACTACAAGTACGACAAGATGGTGGCAGACATGAAGAATGTCTCCTGGGACTCGGAGGCCGCCGAGGGAATGCGTCAGTGGACCTACCAGACCTGCAATGAATTCGGCTTCTATCAGACATCCGAGAACAAGAGCGACACCTTCGGTGACCGCTTCGGGGTCGACTTCTTTATTCGCCAATGCATGGATGTGTTCTCCGAGAGCATGGACGCCAAATACTTGCGGGAAGTGGTTGACCAGACGAACAAACACTACGGCGCCCTGAAGCCGGAGACCACAAACGTGCTCTACGTGCACGGTTCCATAGATCCCTGGCATGCCTTGGGACTGTTCAAGTCACCTAACTCGGCCACTCCCACAATCTATATAGATGGTGAGACAGATGATTAAATTCCAGAAATAATATTAACCTCCCCATCCTCCTCTTTAGGAACTGCCCATTGTGCCAATATGTATGAGCCAGCGAAATCGGATCCCCCGCAGCTGGTGGCAGCCCGGAATAAAATAACCAAATACCTGGCCAAGCTTCTGGAGGGCTACACCTCAACCCCGAATTGAATGTGAAACCCCAGACGGGTGGAGGAACAGAAGGCGGACCAGTCAGCGTGGTCTATCACGTGAAAATTTGAGATTCGTCAGCGAGTTTATTTGATTTCTTTTCGTATTCGCCTTAGCTTGCATGTTACTTTACAAATACATCGCTGGAATAAAAAATCAATCCTTTTTGGCCTGTTCCATCTTCTCGTGGAATCGCTTCCAGTAGTGCTGGACCGTTTGGTTTCGAATGACATTTTGTTCGAAGAAGTGCAATAGCCAGGTGCCAGTTAGATAAGTTAGGTCGTATATGAAGGCCACCACGCGGAAGAAGTACTTCTCGGTCTGCTGCTTGCTGGGCAGGTTGGCCACGATCTCCGACAGTTGCTTGGCGGCCGCGTCCTTGGCGGCGGAAGCCTTCTTTTGGGCATCGCTTTTCCCATCGTCCTCCGATGGTCCTGATCCAGACGCACGAGACTCGGACTTGCTGCGAAGTGTGGTGTCTTCTAAGGGCTCCGATCCATCTATCTTTCCGGCCCCTGTCACCACAGTTCCGAATACTTTTGGAGCCTCAACGTCCGTGGACGCAAATCCCTTGGTTGTGGTGCCCTCCTGATCTTTCCCTAAGGAGCGGTCGCTTCCCAAAACGTTGGGGCTTATGGTCTTAATTTCGGAGCTAACCGACTCACTGAAGCCCTTCACTTCGGTTGTGGTATACCCGGGCGGAGTATTCTTCGGCTTGTCTCCTCCCGATGTTCCAAAGGGTTTGTAGCAAGTGTGGGACGGAACCATAGCTTGTACCTTGCAATGCCACTTGGTGCAATCTTCGGAATTCGTGGTGTTTCATTTTCAAAGAATTCCAACTACAAAGCATGTGCTTACTTACCCCTGACAATGGCCACCGGTCGGAACATCCCAAGCTGAGATCTGGCCACTAAGGCAGCGCGAATCATGGTCGATTGGACGATTTTTATTACAAAATCCACGCAAAAAGAATACTCGCACTTGATTAAGTGACAATTTGAGTGATCAAAAATATTCCGAAAAGGCGACAGCTTCTAAGAAGAACGACCAAGCGGAAACAGAAGGAGAAACGCCAACTTCACTTGCCACACAAGCAGTGTTGAAAGTTTCCTTAAAAAAAAATTACCAATACCTTTTTCAAAAGTGGTAGCTGATTTTTAGAAATGAATAACATGAAATTCTAAGATTATAATCAATAAGAACTAAAATATTGCTTAATTAATTACTTTACGTAAAAAAATTATTAGGAAAATTTCCTACGTATGTGGGTATCTTTTCCCGGCATGTAGAGATTGGCAGCACTGGCCAAGAAAAAAAGTGAAGCCAATCAGCTAGAATACCAACACTTTTGATAATGTTGCTGAATATAAAACTTAAATTAAATATAATATAATAGAAACATTCATGAAAATGTCCTACTTCCGTTGATATCTTTTGCTGGCCTATATAGTTGCCCATAGAAAAGTGAAGCCCATCAATTATTTATAATTTGTCTTTATTTAGTCTATTACTAAACATATTAGTAAGTTTACTAGTTACACATAAGGGCTTACAAGCGATCGCATATAATTCCAGGCCTAGGATCTCAGGCTGTCAAGCTCTTGGCAAAAAATTAAAAGCTGCTGGCGCTGGCCAATGGCGGTGCCCAAAAGGGCATCTCTACACGATGCGACACGCACACGAAAGTGCCCTTTTTCGGTAGCGCCATTAGCTCGCTGATAACGGCAAAACACTTAAATAAACCGCAATACGTAGCCAATGGAAATGGAGGTTAGGATGTACACCCATGGCTGTGCTTTGCTGTCTTTACACTTTTAGGCTACTTTTTAAATTAGTTAACTTAATAATGCAATTTAAGGGACTAAATTGCAGATTGTTTGTTCCGCGACTACTGGCAAAAATCCGGTTATTAAAATTACGTGTGTTAGGCATGTAAAGCATTTCAAACATATGAATATGAGCATACAGTTCCTTCCGTATGTGATATAGATCGTACATCGTGTGGAATTCTTAGTGTTTAATGGAAATGTTTCTGCGCGTTTTCCTTTAATACTACGACGCGAGATAAATGAAGATGATCCCTTAACCGACGCCCCTCTAGAATAAGCCGATCTGTTTCAGGTTGTTTTTGATGATCACATCGGTGACGGCATCGAAGACGAACTTGACGTTGTTCGTGTCCGTGGCACAGGTGAGATGCGTGTAGATCTCCTTTTGGTCTTTTCGCTTGTTCAGGTTTTCGAACTTCATGCGAATGTAGCTGGCCGCCTCCTCGAAGGTGTTGGTACCTAAGGATGGTATATATTTTTGAGAATAGTATAGGCTTCAGGGGATGGGATGTCCTACCTGTGTACTCTGGGAAGCATATCGTCAGAGGAGATCGCTTGATTTTCTCCTCGAACAGATCCTTCTTGTTGAGGAAGAGTATGATGGAGGTCTCCACGAACCACTTGGAGTTGCAGATGGAGTCGAAGAGCTTCAGAGACTCGATCATTCGATTCATTTCCTCATCCTCAGCCAAGACCAAGTCGTAGCCTGAAGAATACATCATTTGGTTAATAAAGGAGTTCTATTAGAGGGTTTGTTGGGTTAGAGGTCCTACCTGATAGCGCCACGCAGAAGATAATGGCAGTGACACCTTCGAAGCAATGGATCCACTTCTTGCGCTCCGATCTCTGGCCACCAACGTCAAACAGCCTGGAATGAAAGGAAATAACTATGAATATTTAAGCCCCAAAGGATGGATTAGTCCACCAACTCACTTAAAGTGCAACTGCTTGCAGGAGAAGTGTGTTTCGATGATGCCGGTGGTCTTCACTCGAGTGCGTAGCACATCCTGCTGGGTGGGTATGTAGTTGGGCTGCGCGATGCGGTCCAGCGAGTTGAGGTAGTAGCCGGCCGAGTCGTTCAGCTGATATTCGCGGGAGCGGGCAAAGGACTGCTGTACGCCACCGTCCGCCCAGAGCTTCTTCATCAGCAGGACGATCTCCGGCAGCAGGATGCCCTCGTCGGCGGCGGAGGCGTGTGTGAAGAACTGGCGGGCGATGTCGGTCTTGCCGGGATCGGCGAACTCAATTTTGAGGCGGCCCATGGCCCGAATGATCACCATCAAGCTCTGCACTGTGTTGCTGTAGACGACGCGGCGGTACTCCTCGCACTCCTCCTGCGAGTAGCCCGCATCGTGGATGATCTTCATTTGTTTAACGATTGTCGACTTGCCCGACTCGCCGGCACCTTCAAGAAACAATAATAAACATAATTAAAAACGGAAAATGGCAAAAAATGTGCAATTTTTCTGTTCTTCGGAAGTGCTTTGAAAGGCAAGTCGCGCCAGTGAGCTCATGCCAAAAGCTGGCCGAGTGGGCGTGACCGCGCCGCAAGCTTGTGAATGCCACGTTCGGAGCGCAAAAGTGAATGAATCAATAGAATCAACGGGAGCAGCAACTTGTGAATGAATATTCCAGATATGCCTCACCCCGTTGCTCAATTGGCTGGTTCAAGAGGCCAAAAAGCTGCCGGTTTACGCTTAATTGCGCTGGTCATGTTGCAAGTGAATGGATATTGTTTTGGATATACAGTAGTATAGTACCCTGTACTATAGTAGGGAATTTCCTAGTTTTAGTAAAGTTTTCATTGAACCTCACCCTTGGGCTGTAAAGTCAGGCCCTTGAGTTCAATGAACCTCCCTCAGGAATTTATAAAATTTATCAAAAGCAGCACTCGACACAATTTAATACAAGTACAGGGCACAGTGTACACTGTAGAGACATACATATAAGGAAAGCTTTCAATTGGAAAACGAGACCTGACCCATGAACGATCATAAACAAACAAAAACTGTAGTCTAGCTGACCACACGGGTTTATTATCTGCTCGGAGTGATGTGACAAAAAAAAGAAATATTACAGATAATCGTATTACGTGTTTGCCAGTTTCCCTTTTCGATGAAGACAACCGGCCGTTAAGAAAAACGCTGCAAAAAATTGGCAACTCTTTGTCATTGAGCCTAGGTTTTATTTTATTTTATTATCTAGCCATGAGCTATAGGAGATGTTTGGGGTGTTGCAACAATGGGGCATTAAGCCGACTTTTTGCTGCAGTTGGCTCCATTCCCTAGCCCTCGCGGATCAGCCTCCGGATGATTAGGTAATTGCCGAAGCTCTCGGGCTTGCAGGCATGAGAGTACTTTCACTTTTTTCTACTTTTGGGGCTTGGTACTATTAGTTACTGGCTTTAGGTTAATATTATAGTTTTTTTTTTAATTGTTCTTCAATAACTATAGGCATGTAGGACCTTCCAGTGATATTATAATATGGATAACCTTATTTTGTATTTGGTTTGATTTTCAGTCTCATCCAGTGTTGTAAGGTGATTAGAGAAACAAATTATTGAATATATTTAACCCTTACTGTGTGTGGAAAATAAAAATAACTTTTTTTTTAATTTTTTAAATTTTTAAATTTAATTTATGAATAATAGTGAAGCAACAAAGCCTGGCTTTGGTATATAATACAAGATAACATAGATAATAATTCAATTTTTTAAGCTGATATACCCTAGAATATGGGTACATGGTACCTATATGGTATATATAGTGTGTACCATATATACCGGTACAGTATATACTTATATACCCTATACCAAAAACAGAAAACTGTCTAAAACAGCGAATACTTTCGAATTTAAGATATTTAAAAACATAATTATGAAGAAACACTACGAATAACACTGTTTTTAGTACAGGAGGCAAACTTAAACCCTAGTAACCGTTTAAGGGTTAAAAACACATTCGTTATTCAACACTGTTTCACTATCTTATCCCTTCTGCACTTCACCAACTGTGACTGCCATATATTTTAGCAAATAAACCATTAAGAGGCTTTTAATTTTAGATAATCCCAACAATGCGCACTAATTTTGCAATAAAAAGCATCACTTTTGGATGGGTTATAGGGGGGAGATGGAGTAGAGGGGAGTGGAAAACAAAACCCCAATCGTTCACCTCACAATAATGAAGATGAAGACGAGCAGAGACAGTGGCAGAGGCAGAGGCCCTTGCCAATTTGAATAATCTGAATGGGCATTAGGCGATGCTCAGACCTGCCACCGTATTATGAAAAGGCCAGCAACAAAGTCCACAGATGGTCGGCTGGAAAAAGGTCAATTTAATAATCATAATAACGAAGATGCAGCGGTGTGTGTGAGGGGGGTCTGCCAATGCACCGTTAGCTGTGCCATAACAAGGGAGAAAGAGCCAGAGAGCGAACAAAGGGAAATCGCTGGAAGAAACGAGACGGGTTAGAACAACGGCCGAGCGGTGGCTCCTAAGCCGCGTTTACAAGCTCATTATCGTCGCGATCATGATGAGCGAACGGTATTATAATTAACATCATTAAGCAGTGGACATGGGCCTGAAGAATCTCTACAAATATGAAGAGAGCTTAGGCAGATTAGTTCCTGAGATTAGTTATCGAATGCCTACTGTAATTGGGGGCTGTAATTAATAAGAGCAGGAGAGGGAGTCACCATTAGAAGCGATGACTAAAGGCCGGAGAAGATTTGTAGGGCCATGAGTAATCGCGTTAAATGGCGCCTGCTCCCCGGTGGCTATCGAAGTGGGAAATGTGTTAATCAGCGGCGAGGGTAAGCTACGGAGACCCACTAAAAAGTAAACAATTAAATCGGATGAAATGGGATCCATGGAACGGAAACCCTCACCCATCCCATCAATGGCTTTCCCGCAATTCTCGCTTATCACGAAATTTCCTCGACTTTCTTATATAAATTACGGTTCTAGCAATTATTTAATGCTATATGTATGTATATATGTTGGAGTGTTTTTATGTCTTGAAATTGACGTATAAGGTCACTTAGCGATAATTTTGATAAGAAAAATGATACTTTTCATGTGTGTTTCTGTTTCATTTTTTTTGTTTTATTTGTTTGTATACGAGTTCTTAAAAATATTGTAGATTAAGTTACTGGGTGGAAAGGCTGGGGCTTCGATTGGTGTGTCGCGCCGCCTGACATTCTTGTTGTTTATACAGATATCCCCCAGCTATAGCGGGCCAGCTTACTCATGCCCCAAAAGCGGTTTTTAAACTCTCCGTCATTCTCTCCATGCAAATATCATTAAATTAAATATAATTCGCTTTTTTTTCGCAGAGTGTTGGTAAAAAACTGCAGACATGAAAAAGAAATTCAACCGAAAGTTGTAGTTTCAATTGAATGGCGTTGCCCCCAAAGGGAAGAGAGGGGAGGGAGAGTCGGCACTGAATTGAGTGTCGGTGGAGGAGCTTTTTATTAAATCCACACAATAAAGGGGGGCTCTCAGTTCCGATTCCAATTTAAACATCACTGAGAGAAGAGTCGAGTCACTTTTGAGACTAAAGCGATCTTTTTGGATTAATCTCTAATTATACCCCTAATTATAGTTTATATTCCAACAAACTATAACTCTTAAGAACTGTTGAATTTCTCTCTGTGTATCCACAGCAGCTGCACTTGGTGGCGGGGCCATTTATTTGCGCTAATATCGTTCACCCCACTTGAAATGTCGGCAGCGGGGCGACAACAATGGCCAATTACTCAGCATCCCGAGTGGGAGGGGCGGGCAGCGAGAGAGAGCGGCTGTTGTGAAGAGAGAGCGCAGCCGCAAAGATCAGAGACACAACTGGTGCAAGGTGTTTGTCTACACTGGCATTTAAGGAAGAAGAAGCAGCCACAACAGCTGAGAAAATGTCTCCAAACTCTATACAGTTTAGGGATGAAAACTCCCAAAGATTACGTGACTTTTAAACAAAAAAAAACCGGTTTCTAGGAAATCTATTCCTAATTTTAAAATTTAAACTGCAATGGAAAAACAAACATGCTCAGCTCTCTACTAAGGCATTTCACCTGCCAGCCAGCCCGTCTTAGTCATCGTGGCTCGCTTCATTAGCGAATCACTGGCAGTCTCGAGAGAAAAACTTCACTGCATTGTTTTCGAAAATGAATGGCAATGAAAATGAAAACTATTCCCACATCGTACATATGTGTGTGTGTTTGGAAACTTGATTACAGAAGGTTAAGACGCATCGGGGCATTTAATTTCAGTGCATTTGGCACAGAGGTCGGGTCAAAAATGCGATATGGCGCCTCTGCGCTTCAATGGTTTTCCTAACTAAGCGAAAACCGCCGCTGCTGCAACAGTCGCACCACCACCAACTTATCAAAGAGCCACAAACATGATGCCAGTGCGGCGCCCCACTTGTTGGACGCAAACGATCCAAGCGATCGAAAAGATCCAAAAGTGCGTGCCACAAGAAACAGAACCGAGGACTGTGACTCGACATTTGGTTTCAATTTACGTTCAATTCCCTTATCGCATTGTAATTATTGGACGCAGAGATTGCATAATGCATGCCTCATGTACAGTAGGCATACGCTAAGACAGATGGACATTTCTTTTATGATTTCTCAAAATAAAAAAACTATAAAATATTAGTCTTTTTAAGTACCACTTAAGGGAGAACAAGAGAGTTCTTCCCTCTTAGAGAAGCCTCACTGTAGCGTTTTTAGATCCCAGGCATCGAATTTCCCAAAGGGCCTGCCGGCAAAAGTCCTAGGCCCGAAAAACTCACCACACAACCGAAAGTAAAACCCACCCCGCCCGAATAATGAGGTCAGAGCGCGAATTTCAGCACATTTCCTCCCAGAAAGCCTTTAACAAATTCGCACGGGGGAATACCGGTTAAAAAAATAAAGAATAAGTGGTAAAAAAAAGCTGAAAGAGACGCACCCAACAGCAGCAGTTTCACCTCCGAGGCGGCCCTCTCGCCCTCCGCCCTCAGCGCCCGATCGATGTTCTTGGAGCGTTCGATGGCCTCTTTATCGCGTGCTGTACTCACGGCACAACCCATTTTTTTCGCTTTTCTTTATCGCGTTGCTAAGCTAAGGGTCTTAAACCGGGAAGATTGGCACTTTCCCGGCGATTTGCGCACTTTTCCGTTCGGATATTTCGAGATGCGTCTGCGCGTCGGCTGTACACTTTTCGGTTTCTGGTGTCTCCACCTCTCCTCCTTTCACACGCACACACCACCACCGCACACAGGCGCACACGCGCAGGGTAAGCAGACGCTAAATTTCGGCCTATAAAAATAGTTCGCGGCGTCTGGAAATGCACCGCTAATTTTATTTTAATATTTCTGGCAGCGGCCGAGTCGTTTAATTCTTTTGTAGACGATCTTTTTTTCGGATGGATTCGCGATCTTCTTAGAGTTGGGATGTAGCAGAGACTAATTTCTATCGAAACATCGATACTTGATTTGAATTTGTAAATCGTACAATTTTTTTATAGTCAAATATCGTATATCGATCTTGGATATTTTCAGTTGGTCACACTAAAACCAAAGGCAGGATTTTCCAACACTAAAATACAAACCCTTCCGCGCATAAAAGTTTCAATATATGTATAATTTAATAATACTCATAATAATTAAAGCTTACTATGTATTTATATAAAAATCATATTTTTTCATCGTCTAGATTTATTTTACATTTGTATTGTTAGTTAGTTGAGTGTTGTGGGTGGATTATATACCATATATGTATGTATGGGTGGATTAGTTACATATGGATTTACTCGGTAAAACTTCATAAGCTTTTCAATTATTTAGTAATTCATTTTAGGAATATTTATTATAGTAGGAATAATTTCAGCATTTATTTTATTATTATTTATACATTGTCAATTCAGTTGTGCAACACTAAAAATAGGGGTATGCCAACTGGTTTTGTTGGCGGTCAATTTAAAATTATACTAAAATTTGTGAAAGAAAGAATTAAATGCACTAAATTTTGTCATTTTCATTTTAAGCTTATTGGGGAACTCCAGTAATCTTATTCTGTGTGGTCAACCTCATTATCGCCATAATTCCATTATTCCCAACTTGCCCTTAGCCTGGCCTTTGTTTGTTGTGATAGCGCCTTAGGTATAAACAAACATGACCGAAAATATGTTTCTGTTCAGAAATGCAGGCAACCTCTTTCACCCCGCCTTTCTCCGTCTCAATATGTATACAAGCCGGAAAAAAGTTCTCAGGGCCCTGGCATAAATAATATTTTCTTTTGGGACAATACAATTTTGAGTTTGATTCCAAATGTTTGCAGTTGCAGCGGTGCAGGAACTGAAGGATATATTCTACTACATCAGTTTAGTGGTTTTTAAATTAAATTTTAAAAGATTGATGGAAAATTTTCCAAAATTACAGGGTTTTTTGGAGTTATCAAATTCCAAAGCAAATAAATTGGTTATTATGGTTATTACCATCTTTAGACCCTTTTCAGCATTACTCGACAGTATTCCTAAATCTATGACATTAAAAGAACATTTTTGGGATGGAGGCACCAACACCAGCTTTCCTCAGCTAATTTATCTAAACAAAACGATCCACAGGCACGAGCGGAAAGTATGGGGTCGCAGTGCAAAAGTTTTGCTGCCACCACCGCCACCGGAGGACGTCACATGCGTCCTCCCTGCCACCCGGAACCACTCCCGCGGCCGCCTGCGCTCGTCTGTAGGTGGAGGCCATCAACGGGTCATGATTTACACATGTTTACACGAAATGTACGGCATTTTGAAGAGGGGGGTGAATGGGGGAATCGGGGTCGTGACATCGCTGCCGTATGAATGAATAATTGCTTCTTCTTCCTCATCGCCCTATAGCTACATTGCTGCTGTAATTTATCGTAAAAAGCCCAGGCTAGAGAAATATGGATATCTTGCGGTTATTCCAGGGTATTCCGGGAGATGTCAGGGGATTCGAAAGGCGGCGCTTTGGGTGGTCTCGTCGCCTTGTGTCTCCTTCTTCACTCCTCCGCCTGCGGCGCATGCTGGCAGTCGTGTTATTGTTGTTGCTGCTGCTGTAGTCGTAGTAGGAATCCCAATCTGTTTGCTGATGCCAACAAATTTGACGAACGACGTCGTCGGCATCTCATCCAAAACTTCAATCGGCGTGCGCACAAGAAGCTGGATGAAAAAACACAACAATATGCCAAGCAAACATCAGCTAGAGCCGAGTAGAGGCAGCAGCAGGCCAGCGGATCAGCGGCAGCAATTACAAGGATGGGCAGGGCCTTGAAATAGATATACGGCAACTAACGGTAACAACTGCACAGCAAGAAAACAGAATATACATAATTATTTGAATTTTACTAGGACATTTAAAATAGATATAATTTGTCCAGGCCGAAGGACTTAGTATCTAGCGCCTTACTAACATTAACTTTAGTATTAAATACTAGATTTAATATGTTAAAATAAAAATAAATACATATAATTTGTAAAAATTTCTACATTTTTGTTAGATATTTATCTGGTTTTTTCTATTTAATTTTATTTTACTTTGAGATATATGAAAACAACTTTGCTAATTCCAAAATATGTACTTTTGACTTGTTTATGCACATTATAGTAATACAATTTAATTTAATCACTTTTCTAAACATATTTATATACCATCAAAAGTGCCATTTCGTGAACAGTCTTTTAAGTGGTGCCTTACATAATTGTCATTTTTAAGTTTTTTGCTTTTTCCAAGGAAAATATTTATATTTTATAACAAAATATATAATGGATATTTAGATTTTTCAGATCTTTTAATTCAGATCTAATAAATATGTATGTTTATCAAATAAAATGTGTTAAATATTATTGTAATACTGTATAAAAAGCCGAAAATCAGAAGTATTATTGTATAATAAAATATTGACTCTGTAAAAATTCTTATAATCTTCTTTATAATGTACATACCTTAAATAATAAAGTGTTATATAATATGTATATAATATAATATGTACATATAATAACACAAATAATATCTACCAATAATCATCCTCACAATATAGAGTTTTTCTTTCAAGTGTATAGAGTTTGGCACATGTGTTATAGCACCAGGCCAACTACAGATGAGAAGATTAATTTCCCCGATAATTCGGGAAGCGGGAAAACTCATTTTTGGCTGGAAACTTGTGCCGGCCGTTGAAAGGTGGAACAGACAGGCTGTAATGCGCCCCGCCTCCCCACTCCCCATAAAGTCTAAAATCCCGGGAGTCAAGTGAAGTTCCAGACACGAAGCGTTTAAAGAGTATTGATGGATTCTCGAGGCGTCGATCGTCTGAAGATGCGATTGATTTTCGGCACTTTTTCAAAAGGCGTCAAGAGCCGACAAGTAGAGAAAATAAAACGCTGAAGGAAGTTTAAGATTTAAGTTTAAGTTTAAGGGGCGGCTGTTTGGCTTTTTTAGGAAACTGAACTTGAGAAGAAATTTAAGAATAAATCCTAATAGGTCAATAAAAGTCCACATCTAACCAACCCCATTTACCATTTAATTTCCATCGATTCGCCAAACAAATTGGGGCCACAAACCGTAAAAACAAAGCGAATAATCTCTTTAACTAAAATTAGCCGCCCCGTTTGTTTACATGGCCATAAAGTAATAATTACCCAGAAGGAAAAAAACCGAGTTCCTCACATATTCCTTATATATTACAACGATCAATCGCAATCCAAGGCAACAAGACAACCGAAAATATAAAAATAAAAGAATCGAGCTGGATCAGAAGTATTTCAACTATTGGGTTATAGCCCGATAATAGCCTGCTGGGAAGGGGTACTCCGATTTTCGGTTCTTTGTTTACATCGGGCCAAAGGAAAACCCAAAAATATAGATCTTACACGGCCATACGGTGGCAACCTGCCCCCGAAAGAGCCATATGTGGCAGGAAACAAAAATCGCTGGCAGTGCAATTGAATTGCCATAAAATCGGGAAGAACCGAAATATCGGGGGAGAATCGAAGGAACCATTTAGTTACCCGCCCACTCTTAAATTTATTCAATTCCCCCGTGGTTAATCTTTGTCGTTTCTGTGCAGTTCAAAGATTGCAATTTGCATGCGGGGGCTCCTAAGCACCTGCCAGCTGATAGAGTGCAGTTTCCCTCGAAATAATACCCCAAAAGTAATGCCTGTTATTATTCAAAATTCTTTGCATTTCTTCGATGTTTTCGCCTAAAATTTTGATACACCTCCCTGGTCAGTGTGGCCTATCCCAGGCCGACGTCGCGACTGGAGGGTTGTCCAGCGTAAACTGGCAATGGAAATTTTGTTTTATCACTCGTTCTTCTATAGCTATTTTTGCCGGATTTTAGTTGCTGCTTTATGGCTTTATAATGTCTGTACGCGTTCAGTTTTATGATCTGTCCGTAAAATGGACCCCATTCATGTTAGGCCCCCGGCAACAATATGGTAATTTTCCTCCATTACGCGCAGTCTTTATCGGGCTCTTTGGTTTTCTGAGAGAAAAACAATTACTTAGCAACGTTTTTTTCTTCTTCTAGAAATGGTAAAGCCTTACCTAAGAACGCTTCTGTTCCTCCTCCTCAGCCACCTCGGATTTTTCCTCTTTTCCGCGGAGTGAGCACTTGTCCAGCAGCTTGCTAAATAGTCCAACCTCGTTTTTCACGGTGGTTTCATGGCGAAGGATCAACAAAGTCCTACGGCCCTGCAGCAAAAGACGTGACATTTTTCAACTGTAGTCGATCGAACGGAGTGGGATACTAAAAATTTCGACACGACTTTCAATGAAAGTATTTCTCAAGGCCTTCATTGATTTGAAAATTTCCTTTTGATGTGAAAATGTCTTAAAATTAACACCTTGTTTTATCTTTCGTTTTTGAAGTCAAAGCAGCTGCTTATGAATCGCATTTGGGTCCCGTGGGTTCAGTGCCTTTGTACAGAGAATAAGGGAATTATTTACCATATTTATAGTGGAAAATATAATAAAACTTACTTCTTCCACACTCATCGGACGTACTTTTCTTTTTCTTTTTAGAGTCACCCGACTTACCTACACAAAATAACCATAAAAAATTGTTTATTAAAGTCCAATATAATGGAAATCTATTAGTAATATTTACCGTCTTTACCATCACCATCCTTTTTGCAGCGGGGTCCCGTCGGAGCCACCTCTTAAATTACAATTCAGTAATGGAAATCAGCTTATAAATTGGAAAGAATCTTACCTCTTCCACAGATATCAAACTGTGTCTTTTTCTTTTTGGTGGAATCTTTGTTGGTGGCATCACCTTTGTTCACTGATCCTGACAAGAGTCGAGGACTGACTAGTCCCAGCTTGTTGCGAAGTCCAAGAAAAGCTTGGGTCCTCAACTTGTTCATGGTTACTACTAGTTCACGTAGGTCTAAATTAACCTAGAAATTTTGTTTGTGGGTATTTGAAAACCCTTATCCCATAAAAGGTTTTTGAAAAACTCAATTAATGCTAAACACAAAAGTTGCTGAGATTCAAAGCAGCTCAATCTATCTTTGATTTGGAAAAGAAACTCCTTTTAATAGCCTTTTTTTACAAAATACAGATTTGGTATTGTATAAAAGTTATTTTTTATTAAATAGCAATTTAGATTGTCTAATTGGGCATGCATCAGTGGGTATGTATTTAGGACAAGTTAGAAAAACCAACCCAGCCAGCCGTTTTTTCGTTGACACCGGCACTGATCGCATCGGCAAAATATCGTTTTTCTGCGGGAATTTTGTTTCCGATGTCTGGGGTATTGACAGGCTCCTCCGGTTTTGCTCGGATTCCAACAGCTCCTCGGATGGCAGAACTCCTCTTTAGTGGCTTGCTCGTGAAAGCAGCCCAGCTGACAGGAGTCCTGCTGGCAGAAGTTGATCTGGTGGGATTCCAGGCACGGATTTTGATTCGAATGGGTCCTCTGAGTCGATATCAGGATACCGTTTAACTTCACTATCTTCATGGCGGTTTTCAATCGATTCATCCTGATCTTGAGCAACCAAACGACTTTTCGTCAAAAGGATTTGTAACCTCAACTTTAACCAGAGATATGTAAAAATGTCAAACATTTCCAGAGGTCGATTTTCAATTGCTGTGCTGCTTTGTTTGCATTTCCCCCGCTTTTCTCGTTTTCTAGTTTTGGGTTTCGGTTTCAATTACAAGCCGAGTTTCCAGTTCCCCGTGGCTACCGCTTCCAAAATCGGTCTCAAGTGCCGACCACACATTAGCCTCGGACTCCGCGGCAGGGGCGGGGGCCTTGGCAGAACGTCGAGGCGGCGCCACGTCAAAATATTTGTCACCAGCGGCTCAATTGGTTCGATTTATGGTGTGGATAATTAGGCGACTGCTGCGTCAGGATGTCGCCGTCGATTAAACTGGAGGAGGTTTACATTTAGTTTCAGGGTTTCCCTTTTTCTGCTACCGATGAAAACCACTTGAACACAGATTTTGCCTGACTTTCAACTAATTATCTGGTGATGATGGGATGTCAAAAAATCGTTAAACGAGTTCTAGGGGGTCGGAGATGTAGTTCTAAACTTTATACATTTTTCTTGGAGAAACTATCTTACTTTGAAAGATTAGGAAATACCTGCAATATTTGTATCTATTTATATTTTGTAGAAACAATCAAAAATTTTAAACTTACATTAAACTAATGAGATTATAAATCGAATGAGTCAGAATGTGGTTATTCGATCTAATGTTGCTTTCGAATCCAAACTAATATTATTATAGATATTTCTTACCTTAAAATATAGATTGTTACTTTTTTTTACCTCGACATAGGATATTGCTCTTTAGCGACTAGAAGGGAAATTTAAAAATATTCTTTTTAAATAATTTCCATCAGAATAATTCTTTCTTGTTTTTATTTATTGAAAAGTTTGAATTGGCTTTCTATTTTATACCTGAGAACAAAATCAATCCACTCTTTCGGCATTCGACTGTCGGGGTGTGTAACTTTGGACCACAACCCATGACATTTCAATGTTGAGCAAGCATTTTCACCCCATCTGGGTATTTTTAGGCCCCACAGGTGCGCTGCCCTCGAAGGCCAAAGACCAAGACCCGTAAAAAATCGATCTGGCAGGCGGAGGGACTACAAAAGTCAGAGAAGAACAAAGCAAACGACACGATGGCATTGGTGGCAGGGGGCACGTGGTACGTGGCGTGGCCAGGGGCAGTCGTGCCACAACCAATGACGACAATGAGCGTCAATTGAAATGAAACAGATGCCATCCCATGGAGGCAAGTGGATGAAGATAAAAGATACAAGATCGCAGACTGCAGGAGAGTACTATAGAATCGAACGATTCTGGAGATTGTAGATCGTAGGTCGTTATGTGTGTGATCAGCCATTTTGGCAAAAGTGCTTAAACCGAGAGATTAATTACTGCCTACGTTGCGGAACCGTTCCGCTGATGAAAACCAAGTAAATCTTCCCCAATCAGAATTTCCTGTTTTTGGTTAAAACACAGAAAAAAATACAATTCTTTCTTAAGCAGTATTATAACCCAAAACGTATTAAAGACCCTATAATCTTAAGATTTTATACTTAATATATTTTTAATCTAATTTAAAAAAAAATTCAAATCTTTCTTAATATTTTTTTTAGTGCATCGAATTGGCCAGTTTTGTGTGAGTCAACGCATTTTTAAGTACCAGCTATTAAACTAAAAGCTAAACAACAAAAGCCCAAGTGGAGATCGCATCGGATGCGATCGGGAATTTGTGGATCCCTGAAGTCCGAAGTGCCCCCGGCTGGCCCGGTTGATTCTTTGGGTCTTTTTCAAAGTATTTTGTACATCGCCGCCTCCGTTCTCTGTGCCCCGTTTTTTGTTCAGTCTTTTTTCTTAATTTTTGTACATTTGGCGCAATTATTGCGCACCAAATGGATCGCAAGTCTATAAATTGTTCGATTTTATTGCGCCAGCTTCGACAGTTGAATGGCGCACAGCGCCGATGGGTGATCTGGGAGGAGGTGTCGGGTCGGGAAGAAGACGCCTCTGGTGTCTGGCCATAGTTTGCATAGTTTGGCAATGGCACCGACAAACTAACGGCAGATTCTTGGCCATCTTGCGCAAGGCGGCCATCTTGGAAAAACATGGCTGTGCGCAAAGGTGTTTATGGCCAAATAAAGTGCCAAAGTGTGGCAATCGTTGGTAACAGCAGGAGGTCGGGTAACAGCACTAAAGACTTTTCAGAAATTTCGTTTTCAAGTTCAAAAGCTGGTCAAATATCTTTCGAAAATTAAATCAAAAGATTATCCATTTCCGTTGCGAAATTCCTGCAACCGTTTACCAAAAGCATCTGTTTAATATTTAAACGTTTTCATTAAGTGTCTGCAAGTACCACCTCCCCGACAAGTACCCCAGAATGTTTACCTTTTGAACTTTCATCCCGTGTTTATACTACCGTAAGTTTGTCAACCGCATTAGTCCAAACAAGATCGAATCCACTTAACCAGAAATGCTAGCATTTAATGGGAAATAAAGCGCGGAAATTCATAAATATTTACAAACACATAATTAAAGTCGTGGGAAAACACAATAACAACTTAACCAGCCACGCCGCGCCGGCCTAAGAACCAGAACACAAAATTATATTCTGTTTGTGTATTTCATTTTGGTTTTTGGCCACAACACGTGATCCTAATCAAAACTGTGATAAACAAAACCGGGCCATGTCGAATGGGATCAGATCGGAATCGGCATCGGCGTATAGTGTTTAGTGTGGGATCTAAGCAGCGAATTGCACACACCAGAGAGTAAATATTTAAACAAAGTCTTGGCCAGAACAGGCCGCGGGTCAGGGGATCGGCGGAGGGCCAGTGAAGTTTAACTAGACGGCATAATTTTCGGGCCGAAAACTCTGGGTAAATATTGATTATTTATTGTCCGCAATCGGGAGAGGCGGGAAACTGTTTAATAAGCGGGGGCGTGGTCGATGGAGGATAGCCGGTTTAGGTGCAATTGTTTGCTTTTACCAGTTGTTGTAGGTCAGTGTGCAAAAACAAATCCGATTGCGGCTTCTTCTTGTATACAAAGGAACAAGTCGGTGGCCGGTGGTTCGTGTGTTTAGAGTACCGCGTTTAATTGTTAAATGTTTATTAAAACTACAGTTTAAACAATGGAGGAGCCCAATGGAGGAGCACGCCTCTCCAGGATGGCAGAGAGTGGCCATCAATGGGATCAGTTGGGATAGAATCGGACCGGCTGAGTGCGGCTCAACGCGGCGTATACATAATTTTGTTTACAAACATGCATAATAGTAAACAATTTTCGGCCATTTAATAACATTAACATTAAAATTAAAAGCAAAACAAAGACGTTCGGCCACCACCTCCGTCTATGCCAACCTATCTTTATTATGATTATCTGAACTTGAAAGTGGGAACAACAATGTGGAATGATGGACCGATGATGACGGCTTTTGTTTGGGAATTCCCTTCTCTATGTATGTTTATTATGGCTATGGATGGCTATGGTTATGTCTATAAGAGCAGCTCACTCGCGGATCACCGCAAACACGGCCAGTTGGCTGCGAAAATGGCCGGCATCTGGGGGGGCGGAACTTCTGACCCAGTTGGGATGACGCACACCGGGCATCGCTGTGTGTGGGCCACTGGCCGGTGCATCTCGGTCGGACACTGGTCGGGCTATAAATAGTCCTCCATAACGACAAGATGTCGTACCGGGAAATGCAAAAATAAAACCTCTCTGAACTGCCGCGGGAAAGAAAAATTCAAAAATCGTTCTTGCCAAACATTTTTAATGAAACGGAAACTGTCAAAATGTGGCCTGGAAGTCTTTGATCCATTTTCCAATAAATATTCCGATTTTACTATTTGGTGGTAAGTCTGCATAAATCACACTGGGGGAAGGAAATGTTTGTCGTTTATGTAGGAAATTTTTTACAACTGATTTATAGCACATGGAATAGTGATAAATGGATCAATACATGTGTACAGATGTAGAGAATAATCTTTAATCAATTATTTTATTGGAACCATCTTTGAGTATTTAATAAAATCCCCGATATCTCAGGGTCGGTGAGCTATGGTCGGGGTCTGTTTAATTTATTCCTCACTCGCAGAAAAATTCCTGAATGTGCAGAAAACAAAAGCCAAAAGCAGCAGGCAGAAAAAAGGCAAGAAACCAATAAGGAGAAGTAATAATAATCAAAAGTAAAATTAATTTATGGCCTCCAAGCCACAGAAGCCACAAGAAAAATGGCCAAAAGTGAAAAATATGTCTGAATGCTGAATGCGATTGAAAATTACTAAAGAGCGCGGAATTTTGGCAATTTGGAAAACCCGAATGGCTTTGGGAAATTCGCTGGAAAATGGCGAGAGGCTTGATATATGGACAACAACAAAACGGCAGCGAATAAAATTAAAATATCTTTCGGGCCGCGTCCGCAAGGCAGCCAGAAAATAAAAGTATGTAGGCTTCCTAGCCACCAACCAGCCACCCAGCGGAATTTTCTGTTCTTCTTCGATTTTCTCAATCATTGCCCCGACGGCGTCGACAAATAGAATTTCGTGAAATGTAAACAAAACTCCGCCTCCGTGTGTCGCTCCCACCGCCGGCACCACAAAATGTATCTGTATCTTTGTGCGTGCCCGTGTGTATCTTGTTTCGCTTTTGGGGGAAACGGATTGAAACGTTGCCCCAAGCCACCGCTGATGCACGACAGGGAAAGGGCAGGCGAAAGAGAAAGGGCGATGCACGGAACCGAGAGTGGCGTCGCCATCGTCTCCATCCATGGGCGTAGGTGGAATTTTTTTTCCAAATCAATTTTATTATTTCATTAAAATTTATTTAATAAACTAGAGTAAAAAGGATTTTAATATTTAAATAATAGAAAGAATAATAGGAATAAGACTAAATATTTATTTTAATTATTATTTTATTAATGAGCTTGGGTAACTACTCTAAAGAAATATGGGAAAACTTTCTTTTAACTTCAGGTTTTACAAATATACATCCTATATTGTGGATTTTTTTATGAAAAGAATTTTTAACCATATTAAAAAAAAAGAGATTAATTCTTAATGTATTTAAGAATTTGAAGAATTTAAAACTTTTTATATTGTCTCTTTTTTTATTTCCATTTAAAATGACATTTTTGGACGGTACATTTTCCTAAATGGATATTGCTATCTCCTCTGAAGATTCTTAGTATAAAAATAAAACAAATTTTAACAATAATATATTAAAAATTTTTATTAACTGTAAAAGAAAAAGTCTTAAAAACATTATTCTTTTCACCCAACTCGTGTTACCCCCTCTTAACTAAGCCCATGTTGGCGACGTCGTTGCCGTCACGGTCGCCTTGCTGCCAACGAGTCGGCGGATTTCTGACAGCAATGGCGGCACTCAGGGGCTGCTGCTGCATGGACCTCTCACCGACCTGGTCCCGTACCCGTACTAGTACCCGTACCCGGGGTAACTTGGTCCGGATCCGTGCCAGGCAACGGCTAAATCAATTAACAGCTCATTTCGAAAATCGAATGCCGCCTCCAGCAACGGCAGCTTCCTTTCTTCCACAGAAACGGTAATTCATTCCCGCTAATTGCGGGGATCGCATCTCGAGAGGATCTCTTTGGTATTTTTGACTATTTATTAACTGTTGACTGGCCAGGGGCAGTATTATTCTCCCCCCTGGTCCAGGGTAGGGGGTCTTAGGTCTAGTGAATTTTGGAACGAAAACAATAATCCCAATGAGTCACTGAATCTAAACACGATTTGTTCAAATCAATATTCTACCATTATGTTTACAAATAAAATATTCAAATAAGACAACAAGGCACAATTTCAAAACTATATTAAAGTATTATAATCAGCTGTCTTTGGCCTGGATTGTTTGTGGTTTTAACAGATTTCCAATTGGTATTTTTTAACTAATTATTTTCAGATTAAGTAAACTATTAAAGGGATTAAGAAAAATAAACCATTGCCATTGAAGTACCAGAGAAGAAAAGAACCGATTTAATCCTTTTTTAAATCGTATTGAATATTTTTGAACAAATATCTGTTTGTATTTGTATCTGATATTTGTATGATCTGACAAGCAGGCTAAAGTCTGATCAGTTTTCGATCCTATTTTAGATCTGTAAAGCATATCTTTTAAAAAAGAATTGTATTTCCAACTTGATTATCTTGTAGCCCTATCCCCCTGGCTTTCCCTTAACTAATATCATTTGAAACCAGGCTCGACTTTCCGCCGTTTCCCATTTACGTTCTCCAGATACCTTGCATACCTCAGATCGGTTCCTCAGCCTAGACACGCTCCGATAGCCAAAGTCCAAGTATCTGATGCCCAAGGCATCGGGAATTCTGTTTCATTTGCATTCCCTAGGAGTGGAGAGAAAAGGAAAACCCAGCGAGGAGCCAATTGGAGGAGAGAAAACCCAGAGAAGACCCGAGAGAAGAGAGAGATTTGCGTAAGGCGTAGGCGTACTAAAAAAAGAATTCTCGGCCGATGGCAACTTAAGTGGATCGTGGCATCGGCTGGGATCGTGGCCTGCTCCAGAAATGATCAGCGATCAGTTGAGCGAGAATAACCAAGCGGTACGGTCATCCAACGGATACAAAAAATAATACTATTTTCCGGCGGATAAAACGCGCGTTCCAAAAAAAAAAACATCTCTAGAGAATTAATTGAAACTTTTGGTGGAAAACTGTGTTCTAAAAAATATATCAAGTGAAGATGATTAAGAGTGAAGAGGTATCAGATCGCTCGGCCATGTCTGTGGATCACCTGGGAGGTGGTGGTAGCTACTATCACCACGCCCACCCGCCTTTCGGCCACCCCATTTCACATCCCTCGCACACCCACACCCACCCGCACAGTGGACACTTGTACCGATCGGGGAATTTGTTATCCGGAGGCAATTACCAGACCATGGGTGGCGGAGACTCGCCCACGGATATGGTGGACGAGAAGCCGAGCATTGGCTACATGGAACTGAAGCACTACATGGAAGGTCCGTCCTCCGCCACGCCCGTTTCCGCCGCCCAGCACTATAGCCTGAGTGCGCTGCACAGCATGGGCACTCCGCCGGCATCCTCGAGTCCAATTCCGCCCTACGGCTCTCTCATGACCCACTCAGCGGGATCCGCCTCACCGCAGTCCAACTCAAAGACCCCGACGGATCTGCCCCAGGACATGCAGTACGTGACCTCCACCTCCAAGCCACTTCAAGTGCAGCTCCAGCCCATGAACCACCAGTATGCCTCGACCATCATGTACTGCTCCAACAACACCATCCTCAAGGCCAATGACTACCAGTTGCTGACCAGCCACGAGGTGGAGCAGCAGTCGCCACAGCAGCAGCACTCGCAGCAACAGGGGCAGCAGCAGCACACGCAGCAGCTGCAACACTCCCCAGGGGCCTACCTGCCGCGGATATCCGAGTCCCCCACCCAAGTAATCAGCAATGCCCACGGGATGTCCTCGGTGCTCAACTACTCCAGCTCCAACTCCTCGCCCGCCAAGTCACTCAACGGATCCGACTGTTCCCCTCCAACCCAGAGCGTCCAGACCCCAAAGACCCCAAGTGGTGGGGGATCTGGCAACCAGGACGCGGTCAGCACTCCGGACACCACCAAGAAGTCGGGTACTAGGCGGCCGGAAAAACCTGCCCTCAGCTACATCAATATGATCGGCCATGCCATCAAGGAGTCACCCTCCGGAAAACTGACTCTCTCCGAGATCTACGCTCATCTGCAAAAGAGGTAAGAATCTTGGATGGATTTGATATATGATTCAAATAATATATATGTATAGTATATAGGTTCCAAAAAGTAAATAGTTAACCCAGATTTCGGGATTCTATTTTCTGGTATTAGTCCTTAAAAGTTACTCTAATTTTCAAGGAAATTTAGAATATATTGTCCACTTTAAAACCCTGTATTTTTCTATATTTTGAGAAAGTCTATAGTTGATAAATGATCTAAAAATAGAGTTTATTTGGATTTTATTCCAATTCCATATTAAAATTTCGTTTTCTTCTTAGTAAAGTTTTTAAAAGTCCCCTCTCCCCCTTTAATTACTTTAAATAATTTACGAAAAATTGGTTAGAAAAAGCTAACAAACCTAATGTTTATTTGGCTTTGGTTATAAATTATTTATAGAAGTTAAAGCCCTAACTTTGGTAAACCTCATTAAGATTGCTTACCCAAGCCCAACTACAATTACGATTCCCCCTCGAATCCGATATGAAAAGTTTCGGAGGCATCTTGGCTTGGAACGGGACAGGCGGAGCCAATTGGCGATATCGACACCCGGACACGACTTGAGGCCCAACGGGTTTATTTACTTGCATCCGATTTTATTTAGTCAACTCGACTCCCAGTCCCACAACCCTACCCCGTTCCGAAAGGGCAGGCGCATCCTTCAGATAGCTCATATTTCGCGACGTTTGTTTGGATTTCGATTTCGGCGACGAGACGGAAATCCACTTGAGCTTTGGCTCCAGAAGAAGACTCCAGGGGCGCACTAGGGGGATCTGGGGATGCGTGAGAGGCTTTTAAGCTGACATGGTTTGTTGTTTGTCGCCAGGCACCCCCTCGAAAAATTCCCAAAAAAATAAAATTTTAATTTCGTTTTGCAAGCGCAGCAAAGTAAATAAAAGCTGGATTGTCAATTATTGTCTTTCGGTTAATGGAGTTCGGGAAATTAAATGGAAAAACCTAATTTTAATGATTTAAATAGTTTAGGAAGAGTGTAAGATCATTGTGGTTAGTGTGGGCACAAGATTGTACTGCAGGAACTGATGTAAACTTTAAAATATTTAACAAATCTTGAATAATAATTGCATTTTTTCAACAGCTATGAATTCTTTCGAGGACCCTATGTGGGCTGGAAAAACTCTGTTCGGCATAATCTCAGCCTGAACGAGTGCTTCAAGAAACTGCCCAAGGGCATGGGCGTGGGCAAGCCGGGAAAGGGTAACTACTGGACCATCGACGAGAACTCGGCGCACCTCTTCGAGGACGAGGGCAGCCTGAGGCGTCGACCCCGAGGATATCGATCCAAGATCAAGGGGAAGGCATACGGAGGACATAGCACAGCATTCTACACTGGAAGCTACGCCGATGCGGGAATGGTGAGTCAGGAGCTCCCTTAAAAAACGCAATATCTTAATAACTAAGTATTTCTCCTCATCAGGACAATGCCAACTTTTATGCCTCTCCAGCCTATGCCAGCTATGATTATGGTAGTTCCGGACCAAATGGTGTCTCCACGGGTGGACCTCAGGGATTCGGAGATGCCTGGAATGTCCATGCCGCTCACAGTGGCGCTCCCTCGGGTGGTGTGGGAGTGGGCGTGGGTGTGGCGTCCCTGCCCCAGTACTCGAATATTTCCTGCCTGACTGCAGGCGGCGGCAGCCTCAACGGCACCGCATCCACACCCCCTCTGGCCCACTCCACCCTGGGCATGGGTCACAGTGCAGTGGGCTCCTCGAGCTCTCCACTCGGGTCTGCGGCGGCGCTTCAAAGCGATTATGCGCCAACCGCCAGCCTCGTGGCCGCGGGCTATTCCTATGCAACAAGTGGCGGCAGTCTGGACAACGGTAAGTGAGCGGCTCTGGGAAAGGGATGAGGCACACTGCTGCACAGAGAGAAATGGGGAGTCAGTTGGGAGTGAAATTTTCATAATCATTTAATGGATACAAATAGTATCTAGTAAAGTCTAGTTGTCGAGTGTATATTTCAGTCCAGGCTAGGGAAGAATATATTTATATATATATTTATAGTTAACTACTAAATTAATTAATTAAAGGACAACCGTATTTAAGGTCAAAACAGAGAATAGGGCTTATTTGAGGGATAACTTTTAGGGGAGTTTGGGAACTAATTTTAAATCAGTCTTGAAAATAGGGAGTTCAAAAACCTCTTCCAGTTTAAAAAAACTTTTTTTTTAAATATGAAAGCTTCGTAAACTAATAAAACTATTAAATGATATATCTTCTTCATTTAATTTTAAAATAAATTCAATTTTTTGTTCAGTCTAATGCACTTGAAGGGTGCCGGGTAGATCTTTGAAGGGGGATCGGAATGTTCTTGGGTGTTCGCGTCAATCAGGGTAATTTAATTGCTGACGGCTCACAGCTCGGATTACCGAGAGAAGTGGTGGGGGTAGGGGGCAGGAGAACATATGGTAATCTATGCCGCACTCGATCGACTCGACTCCCTTTTTTATAGTTTGCCGCCACAAAGGCGGCGCGGCGCGGCGTGTAGTGTGAATTTTAACGCTTTGGCCATAAAACCAAGACTGCAATTTTAATCGGTTTCCCATCTCCCAGGTCTCCGCTCGTTGTCGCTGCAGCAACTGCCCGGGTTGTCCACCATCCAGCAGCAGCACCACCACCACCACCATCAGCACCACCAGCAGCATCAGCAGCACCCGCACCAGCACCACCATCAGAACCACACCTCCATGACCCCACCGCCATCGCAGTCGGGCGGCAGCCATGTGATCGACCATTCGCCCATTGACCGGAAACCGGTTTACCTGCCGCCCATCACGCCGCCACCTCCCTCCTCGGTGGTGGCTCTCAATGGCGGCGGCGGCGGCGGCTACTACGAGCCACTGAAGTTCTCCAATTAGCCGCCGCGTAGTTCCGATTGGGCCGATCGTTTATACCTCAAAGGATAATCAAGTTGAATTAGTCTTAATTAGTGGCAGACCAATACAATCTCTTATTAGTGATTAGCGGGGAATCTAACCATAAACATATTGTAGCAATAAAGCAATAAAAAGAAATTATTTATAAACAAGACAAGCATTGCTCCCAAATTTCAAGCAATATAATTAAAAAGCTATTTAACTAAAAAACTATTTAACTTAAATCATTTTTCATTTTTTTGGGATTGTGAGAGAAACTATTTTATTTTTATACCCTTGAAATTGACATCTCCGACCTTGTAGGGTATTTCATATATAGTCTTGATCTTGATCACCTTCTGAAAAGACCGTCTGTCTGTTTCTTCCGGACTAGCCGGAATTGGAGCACTATATCCTATAGCTACGTTATGACTGAACTATCAAAAATTACCCAACTTTGGTATATATAAGATAGAAGCTTTGGCCTTTTTTAAAAATTTTTAAGTCTAAGAAATTGGGTTTTTACTCAAATTCTCATACAGATCCGCCAACTACATCCGTTATTTTTTATTTATATAAACAATCTTAAAACATTCCGATCTTAACTTCATGGGTATATAATACACGCTGAACTGCGTTCTTACAAACATTTTCCCATTTTTCTCTTAAACCTTGAATTGTCGAGGGTTCGACGCCGATTAGTTCGAATTGCCGCGTGGTTTTGTTTAATAGCTGATTTGTTGCTTCGAATTACCGAGAGTATAAAAATGTATTGAAAAAGTTCGAAATATCAAGAGAAATATCAATGTATGGGGGCGCCACTGTATGTATTTGAACTAAAGCTTGAAAAAAAAGCTTTGCAAAGTGAGACTGTTAAATGCTAATTGCTACCAAATTATAAAATGATTATTTTAAACATATTTTGAAAATGTTCCTCAATAAAATTAGTTTCAAATAAATATATAAAACCAATAATACGTCTTGTAGACCGAAGAAATAGTGAGACACCGGATATTGCAATTATGATAAGATTTTGCGATTAAATTGTCGATTAGATAATTCTTGATTAGATAAGTCTTAATAATTGTTTAAACTGATAACCAGAAGTTCTATCAGTTAAACAGTCTTAAGCAGCAAAATAGGAAATAATAAACCGCTTACATAAAAAGTAATTATAACTAACAATATTTTGTATACTTACATACATAAATGCAGTAAGTTTTAAGTTTTAACTATTCACGGTTTCCAAAGACTTCATACAGCAAAAGAGCTAAATAAATTCTTATGTAGCTTAAAGGTTTAACATTTTTTTTTTTATTAATGAATCCTTACTACTATTTTTCTAGCCTTAATTGTAACACCTAGAAATTTAATTTTTTCCATTAAAAATGATTCAGTTTGGTTTTGAACGTCTGCGACTTCGGAGTATATACCAGAGATAAAAAATGAATTTGGATTCCTGGTAAATATTTGTATATCCCAATTTTTAATAATATATGCATATTATGGATAACCTATTACATATTTCAGGAAAAATCGGGGAGCTGAAATGCTTAAGACTGGTCTCTTTTGCGATATTTTTATTCTTGTTGAGGACGTAAAATTTCCTTGTCACCGATTTATGCTGGCCCGTGCTTCAGAATTTTTTGAAAAAATGTTTCAAAGAGATGGTATAGACACGGGAGTAGTGCGTTTGGAGGACACGACCTCTACAGTGTTTCAAATTATTCGGAATTTTATTTACACAGAGAAGACGGAGCTCTTGACCGGCCTTGATTATAAAACATTAGTAAAAGTTCTGCAGAACGCGAATATGTGGCTAATAAGTGAAGTTGAAGAAATTTGCATAGACCTTCTTAGAAAAGAAGCACAAAAAATGAAACCGGAAATCTTGGTAGAAATGTATGCTATATTTTACCTACTAAATAACAAGAGTTTTTTGAATGAGATTATTAAGGTAAATCATCTTAGCCTCGTAATAGAAACTTAGCTCAGCACTTTTGTCTTGAAATGTATTGTTTTTAAATTTATTTTTAGCTCCTTGAAAAGCAATCGGTTTCTGACGCAACTTCATTAAAGGTCTTCGAACTAGACTATAATTGCTTCAACGAATTCGTTCGGAGCACTTCGCACATTTTCTCCGAAAGTAAACGCTTTGCAATGGTTGAATGTTGGATTTTAAAAAACGGGGATTTTCAATATAGTTCCATGAAAGATTATCAGTCCATGTTAAGTACCATTGATTTAATGAAAATGACAATTCAAGAGTTTCGGGACGGACCAGGAAAATCAAATCTCTTGGCTGATAAAGAAAAGTACGAAATAATTTCTGAAATCGCAATTAGAAGCACCAATAAATTTTACGATGCATCGAGCCGGGGGTTAATAGTGAAAAAAGCGGATTTCTTTTTAAACGAGAATTTGGGACCAATTATGCCTTGGTCGTGCATAATTGTTGCAACAGACTGTACACGTGTATTATATCGACGTGAACAAGTAAGCCCACGGATAGCGTCAATGGTAGGTACTGTAAACGATACGGATTTATTAAAGTTATGTAAGAAAATATTAACACCGAATATGAGTTGTATCCCATATTCCCATGGAAAATTTTTCATAGAAAAATCACTACATACTATTATTATTTTTGAACTTAGCAATTCTAATATTATTGAAAAAATCAATAATGTAATATTCCCAAATATTCAGAACAATTCTTATAACCACGAAAGCAAAATTCGTATTCAAAAGTTCTCAAATTATTTGAAGGACCTTAATTTTTAGAAGATAGAATTATAAGATAAACTGAATTGAAAAAAGGATATAGTCAATCTAAACTTACAGGATTTCTTTTGTTTTAAGACATTCCTGATTCAGGTGTGGGTCGCGTTCAATGTCATGGTCGCAAGCGGTTCTCACTCTGGAAATTAAATGTTTGAAGTCATAATAATCTGGAGATATTAAGCTTTAGATTTAATTCTTTGAGTATAATAAAATTGCATACATTCATAGTATTAATTGATAACTTGTAATTAAAATTAAAAATGCATAAAATTAAAAAAAAAAAAAAATGTATTTTATTAAATGTATTTAAAAGCACTAAAAAAATGGATTTTATTGTATACTTCCAAACATTTTCAGTGTGACTCACAATGAATAATCATTTTGCTTTTGCAAGCCTCTAAATCCGCACTAAAACATTGAAAATATAATAGGATTCAAGTCTTGGTAAATATTTGTCATGTAGTATTTTTCTTAATTTCAAGATTATAACGGGTAACCTGGGTTCTGATATTCTCTTCGAGGACTTCAAATCGCCACCGATTTATGCTAGCCCGTGCGTCAGAGTTTTTTAAACAAATGTTTCAACAAGAAGGACTACACTCGGGAGAAGAGTGATTGGACAACACTATATACAAAAATGGAGGAGCTACCTAAGGTAAGTTCTATTAGAAATATTGTAATAAAATAAAGCTCTATCTGTTATCTGTTAACTTATATTTTTTTCAGTACTTTCAAATGGAATCGGTTTCTGTCCCAACTTCATGTTTTGGTACTAGGCGCAACGTGTGGTAAAAATTATCAATACGAAGCCAAAATTAGGGGCCAAAATTAGAAAGGATCAAATTATGTAAACTTGGTTATTTAGCAATTTTGTCAACTTTGAGTTGAATCGCTCCGCACGAAAACATCTTCGTGAAGTAATTTCAACAAATTTCGACTTTGTCGATGAGCCGTACAAGTATATATCGAACTATATACATATGTACGAATTTGTGCATATTAAAGGTGAAAACCCGTCATTTGTGCTGACTTATGCTGTGTTTTAAATTTTTACAAGTGTCCTTCAGGCATTATTTTTTCCTCTTTTCTGAGCCAACGATCAGAGTTCGTTCAAAGGCGACAGGGCCACTTATGTTTTCAGGCAAAAGCTGAAATCAAGTTCCAATCACGCCAGATTCTGTATGTTGCTACTCTTTATACCCTTGCTGAGGGTATTATAATTTTTCTCAAAAGTGTGCAACGCACTGAAAGAGTTATCTTGGACCCTATATATATATTCTTCATCAGGATCACCTGCTGAGTTAATATGAGCATGTCTGTCTGTCTGTTTCTACGCAAACCAGACTCTCAGTTTGAGTTTGAGTTGATATAGCCATTTCTGTCTGTCCTTTTGGCCGTCTATCTGGATCTCACTATCTCATAAGAAATAGAACAAGCCGATTTGTAACTTGAACTCATATGTTATCGCAGATCAAGTTTGTCTAAAAATCTCATTGTAGCGCCAGTTAGCTTATGTTTTTTTAAAATGTTTTGATGGCAACTGCTAATCTACATCCACAAATCAAAATGCAGCGAAATCGAATAATTTTTAGATGAATTATAGACTTTTTAGTCTGCTACCCTACTGAACCGGTAGTATGGCCGTAGGTGGTAGTAGGGGGGCTGAATTTGTTTTTTTTTTTCAACCGTAAAAGTGATATGAAACAAAAATTTGTTTCTGACAATCCATACCGTTGAAGTTTTAACTTTAAAGCCGTGATCGTTAGGGCCCTATTCCTGGGGCATAGGAAATTTCTTTGCTCGAGCTCCGAACACACACTGTATATTCTTTATTAATACTAAGGCATTAAAATCATATCAATGTATTAAGTTCCGACCACTCGGATTTGTATATATGTATATATATATCGATATGTATATCGCTCATCATTTGGCCGATCCCGAGCGGCCTTAATCCTGAAATAAATTTATAAATCTATTTCTTATAACACAGGAAATATATACGAAAGAGGAAAATTTAATTTTACTTTTAGTATAGTGGTATTATATACTTTTAATTTGAAAAAGTTTTCAAATTTTGGCACGCAGATGGCGCCTCAAAAGTTCGTTCCCAGGAAGATGTTTCAACTTTTTTAGACAGATGGCGCTAAAAATTTAGTAATAATTGAGAAAAAAAATTTCTTAAGGTGGCTACTCTCCGACGGATGGCGCTTTAGTCTGGTAATTTTCTCATTAGCAACTATCGATAAGGCGGGAATTTCAAAAAAATAATCTATTATTGGTAATGATAAATGTAATATAATTTTACTTCATATATTGTAAATACAGCGATGGAAAAAATAAAAGAAGCGAATATTTCTATTTCACTTAAAGTCTTTTTTTTAAGTTTAACCATGTGTTAGTTACATGGATAACGATACTTGGTCACGATCTTCTTTTTGAACGCTTTTCGTACGCAATTTAGGTTTTTCCATGGAAATTGGTCAGAAGACTCGTGTTTGGGTTGGGAAAAATAATAGAAACGCGATCGTATTTTGTCAAAATCTGTGGTTATTATTCGTTTAAATTAAAATAAGATGTATTGTTTTGAATATTTTTATTACAAGGAGTGTTTTTATAGCAATTTTGTGTACAAATTATCATTTAATTTTGTTAAAAGCTTCAAAATGGGTACTGGAGCACATTGCACCGAAGTAGAGAGGAATCTAACCCTCACATTAAAAGCAGAAGTCCAATCCTTGGGACAAATTGTCAAACTATTGGAATGCTATACAGATAAACAGGAAAAACGTGGCAGAAAGGGAGAAACTCCCACAAAATTTGACACCACCCTTATAAGGAAGTACATATACATACATACATATACAAACAATTAAGAAATAACTTTTTTTATTAACTCCTTAAACGATAAAAACAATGTCATTAAAGTCTCATACATTCTACAAATCACAAATATTTGAGACGAAACCACGATCCATATCCAAATCCATAGAAAACGTAATCAGCTTAAAGGATGACCCATCAAGCCTCAAATTTGTGGCACAAGCCCAGACTCATTGTCCGCAAGATCAACAATCCAATTATTCTGTTAATTGTCTCACCTTTATGAACAAATTAAAATCCTGCCCAGAGTCAAATGCAGGAAAGTCTTTTGGCTGCCAACCGACATGCCAACCGAAACTGGCCATTGTCCTGCGAGGCCGAAAAGGCAGCAGCAATCTCATCAAGAAGTCGTCGCCGCCTGATCATTATCTCGCAGGACGAGGCTCTGGACAATCCGGATATACTCGGCGAGGATACGGGGACGGGACAAAGCTGGCAAAAGGGACTCTGGTCTCGGCCGAAAAGCCAAAGACAAACACAAGGCGCAAATCGAAATCTCTGGCTGGAAAGGAAGTTTTGAGTGAAAAATTTTACAGTCAAAGGATAATCGGGATTAAATCTTCTTGAAAAGTTAATGTTTACACACGCACCTACCGTTGGCGATGAGCGAAAAAAAGATGCAAAAATTATGAAAATATTGTCACAAGTGCACAGCAGCAACTGGCAACTGGTAACTGGTAACCGCAAGGATCGCAAGGACGAGGCAGGTCCGAGGCAATGCGATGCGCTGCCGAACAGGACAATTGCAGGCGGCAATCAAAACAACCAATTGTCCGTTTCGTTCCGCCTCGAATCGAACTGTAAGCGAAACGAAAACCGAAAAAAGGACGAAGGACACTGGACGCTGGACAGAGGACAGAGGCTCTGAGGCCGAACCGTCGTAAGAGGATTTGCGCGTCAAGTAAACACACGAACTGTTCTACAGAAGCCTGAATCTGAATCCTGGCGATAGAGACGCAGGACACAGTCATATCCAGGCCCACAGTCACTGTCACTGCCTGCAGGACGAAACGAAAAACGAATGAAAAACCAAATCGAAGATGCACAGCCTGCATAAATAAATAAATAAATAAAATGATTTGAACAATTTTATTTTCGCATTGCAAAAACGAAATGCAGACACACATTTTTCTTTGAGTTAAAATAAACAATTTTTTAAAAACCGTTTGTTGCACTTTTATTTACTTTAAATTTATGCGAAAATTAAAAACGTTTTTCGCAAGGATTTCCAGCTGCCGAATGTTTTCATAGACGAGCCATACCGACATCCGAAATTGTTCGGACACCGAAGCGGAGCGAACAAAAATATAGATTTCCCCATAAACATTAGTCGCTGCCATTCAAAGGAGTTTTCCATTTTCCGTTTGCGGAAAATCTCTCCCACATCCCCAGTACTTTCAAATTTTATCATCAAAAAAAAAAGAAGAAAACTCTTTTTTCCCCACCAGAGGGCTATCCCTTGAACGTCTCGAGTATGTCGCGCGTATTTCCCATACAAATAAACAAAAGTCTTGTTGCAATAACATGGCATGGAATATTTATTAAATAAACATTAGACCAGCAGCCGGAGCAACAGATACGAGCCAAGTTACTATACAACTCGCTATCTGAATGGAGGAGGCGGCCTGGAAGGTGTTTTATGAATGAATTTAACCGCTGCCCGGGCCCGGGCCGGGGCCGGGGGATGGAAATGCCAGGCTAAGTGTTTTCCCAGCTCGTTATGTTATTTTCGCGGCGAATCAGGTACTGAAATGTAGGCTGCGATTTCTGGCCCTTCTCGGAGCTCGTGGGTGTTTCAAGACGGTATGATGACTTTATTCCGATTGAATTTGGTTGGAATGATTTCCATATCTGTTTCAATTTAAGGAAGGTTTTTGGATGTTTTAAGATGAAAATCAGAGTAAAGCCATTCACGTGTCATTAAAAATTAAACTAACATCCTGAAAAACTCACTTATTGATAAGTTGCAAGCTTATTTTAGAAGAATTTTCAATTCAAGAGCTTATAAAAGTATCAAATAAAATACTTCGAGAAAACATAAATAATTTTTTTAAACTATTTAACTACTCTACTTCTCTACTCTACTCTAACTACTTAAAAATAGTAACATTCCCTCTATGGAAAATTATCATATAAAAGTTTATAATGGTATAATAAAATTAGCCCCATAAACATACATAACATACATTATTTAAACATACATAATCAGTTTAAATATAAAAAAAAAAGGTTTTTTAAATATTTTTGAAAAAGTTTGAATTTTTTATAATTATTTTTGAAAGAGAGTTGGAAAACATGAAGTTTTAAGCTTAATTTACCACAAACTTAAGTTTAAACTTTAGTTTATTAAGTTATGTCATGTTTTGTTAAGTTTAAAAATATAATTAAAATATTATGTAATTTAATATCTTATTACGAATTATTACCAATTACCACACAATGCAACAAGGATCATTCGCAAGACAATAAATACTGAAAATTCGTTTGAAATATATTGATTTTAATATAAAAATAGACCTCATTTACAAAGATAATACTCAAATTTTAAATATATCTTCAAATGGTATAAATGACTTCTTTGAGAATGATATAATCAACTAACTTGCCAAAACTAGCACTTAAAATGGACCACCCATCCCAGCTTGAAGTCCTCCTTCATTAACTATCCCTAGGGGTCACTTCCTGGAAAACTCCATGGTGGCTCATCATTTAGCAAACGGTCCACACCTTGGGCACGCTCCCAACTCATCTCGATCCATCCCATCCCATCCAGGCTTTAGGGAAGCAGTGGTAGCCAGAAACACCCACTTCCCAGCGGGTCGGAGGTCACCGTGTCGAGTCTAGTCCCTGCCATAAAAACTGTAAACCGCAAATAAGCCACAGAAACCGCAGGACACGCGTGGAATCATCATCATCATAATCATCATTACGGGAACTGATGGGGGAAAACCGGACACATTGAGAAGCGGGCCAGGTAGCCGCTGGACGGCGGACGAGCTAAATCTGAGGCATCTGAAATGCGGGGGGAAAACCCGGCAGAACCTCGAGATTTCATTAAGAATTCCCGCGGCACGCATTAAAGTCTAAACATGCCTAAAAAGTTTTCCGTTCCGGCTTTCCGATGATCGATCCGGCTAAGCATCGATGATTAGCATCCGGGGGCCGATGGTCGCTGGCCACTGGACGCGGTTGGCTAGGAATCCAGGTAGGAATCCGGACTTAGCGCCGTCTCCAGAATTTCCGCTGCTTATGACCGGAAGATTTTCACCATGATTACGATTATGATTAAGCTAATGGCGGATATTTCCCAACCCCTTGCCCTAAACCGCAAATGCTCATGGATGTGCAAGAGTATGTGTATGGGTGTATCTGTGTGTGTGTCTGCAACTAATCTGCTAAATTGTCTGGCCCAAAAAGAGAAGCAGAAAAAGTATAGAATATACATGCATAATAAGCTCCGAACCGTATACAAATCATAAATTTTAATGAGTGGCCCAATAGAGTCCCTACCCTACAGCCCCCATATATAGCCCACCCCTCCTCCTCCCCCCACCACTAATGTGGCCAGGAAACCACCCCGAAAGCTTAACCCAAACCAGAAAGTATCTACGAAACTATGGAACTGCAGCGAGCGAGAGGGGGCTAGTAAGTACGCCATCGCTGCATCTCGCTCGGCTCTGGGCCTGGCCACGCCCCCCTCTCATAGCTGCGCAGTCGTTCTGTAGGTGTGTGTGAGTGGCCCGCTTCATATTGGCAGAGAACGATGCATATTCATGAGAGAGCCGTCGCGGATGTGAGTGTGTGCGAGTATCTGAAAGATTGCCAGGCCGTATCTGTGTGCAAGACTCGTCGGTGCGCTTGTGTGTGTGTGTGCTCGTGCGCATATTTCGAAGATTTAAAACCGCTTTATCAGCATTTTTACGATTCCAGCAGCAGCAACGGCAGAGGCAGCATATTTTCTTGCGCATTTCCTTTCCTTTTTCGCCTTTTCGACGCAAGGAAAAAAACTGTATTTTTGTTGCCGCTTAAATCCTTGGTTCAAGTGTCTGATTAGGTGCACTCCCCTGCACTTTAAAATCAATATTATTCTTAGATTATTCTCCTCCCGAAAACGGAGACAACGAAAAATCTGCCCAACAAAAAGGGAATTGCTAAAATTTAATAAAGGGCAATGAGTTGCCACATGTTCAGGATCAGCCTGGATGCGGCATGTGGTCTCTGCTCTGGGCTCTGGGTTCCTTTTTAATGTTTTAAATTCCAGACCCCACTTTTCGGTTTAAAGCCCTGTCAACGTTCCGCCGACTGCCTTTAATTGAGCGTGGCGAATGGGCGAGACAGCCCCCGAGTTCCCCACATCCCACTTTCAAACTTGATTGCGGCATGTCATTTGAATATTTTCGCCAAATTGACATGTTTTTTGGGTGAAGGAAGCATGTCCAAAATTGGCATCTATCAAGGTCTCGAGTTCATAGAACTCTACATTATTTTGGGGCAATTTAAAGAATTACATATGTATGTTTTTAATTGCAGGAGTAGGTTTAGGAATACGTTAAAGACCCTATTAAATTTTTGATATTATGGAAGAAAAAATGGTGCATTTATAGTAAAACGTTTTAAGTTGAAATCTACTAAATATTTTAATTTGTTCCACTTTTTTTTTAAGTTTTAGGCTTCCATTCCTTAAACTAATTCCTTAAATTTCTTAAACCTTCTCAAACCGTGGTTTCAACCAAAACATAACTCTTGTTTATAGTCTCTGGTTTTAGCTAAAGAATGTTACAAAATAGTAGTTTAAGGATGTAGTCTCATGTTCCGGCCTACTTTTTAGAGGTTATTTCAAAAATTTTTTTTTTTAATAAAAAATAATGCGATCGTTCCAATTTTATTTTATTATAGGCATCAGGCATCAATTTATAGGCATCATAAACTAATATTTTGTTTAATTTATTCTTGTGTAGTTTAATACACTTTATAGCATGCCAAAGTATGCATATAAAAAAAAAGGTAGGTCCCTGGCGCAGGTGATTTCGACTGCTAGAGTCATCCGAAACAAAAAATTAGAATAGATTATTGTTTTGTAAGCTTATGGCTCTGTCCCGTACTAGAATGAAATATTTTCATAAATAAACAACAAAATGGCAAACTCACAAAAAAAAAAATTTTAAAAAATTTAAAAAATTTATCTTAAATTAATAATAAAAAAAAAAATAATCATTAAAAATAAATGATTCTAGTACGGGACAGAGGTGTTACTTTTAAGAACAACATATCCAAATTTCAGCTAGATCGGTACCATAGAATTTTGTGAATCACCTGCGCCGCACACAAAAATGTCGTTCCGAGAAAAACGCGTTTAAAGTTTAGACGCTACCGAGAAACTCATACTTTTCGGTGTAGGCGCGCTCTCGATTATGGGCTGTATCTCTGTCATTATTTAATATTTTTATTTGAAACTTTAACAGTACATTCTTAATAAACATTACTATCGAAATGTGTTGAAAAAAAAAATCGATTTTTTCAACCTCACACATGAGACTACATCCTTAACTTACAAAAATAAGCCAAAATTTCTAAAGTAATATTCCTTTAATTGGCCATAAGGTAAAATACAATTTTATTAAAATCTAAACTGTAATACTCTATTAAAGGTTTTCTCAAATATGTAATTATATTCAATATCAATTAAAGATTCTGAATGTTGCTTAACAAAATTTAATTTTCCTTAACGGATTTAAAATTGTATATACATTGTATATTGAATAATAAAAAATCCTTTAAAAAAGGCATCAGATACAAAGATTTTCACCTTTTCCTAACCGAAATTTTTAGAGAAAATGTTAAGATGCAGTTTTGGGAAACTAAAACAATATTTTGATAGGTCAACTGCAGTGGACTGGCTGCAGATACAGATACAGATACGAGTTGAAATGGATGGTATCCGTTGGATGCGACATCTGTGTGTGGGATGGGGGGGGCAAGGAAATCGAGAATCGGTGACGGGACAGACAGGCAATGGCAACTCCGTAAAAATAACATGAACTGTGCAAAAATGCACAGAGATCTGTATACCCCAGACAGTAACTCACAAAAAATCGTTCACACCCACACTCGTACACTCATACACTCATACAGTCGAACAATCGCAATCACGGCGCCGATGTCGAAGACAAAAATTTGTTAAATCAGCAGCTACGATGGCGACATCCTGAAATTCACAAAAAAAAAGAAGAGATGGAGGGCGGGGGAGACGAAATGAAATGCGCAAAATGGAGCTCTTGGAGCCGGAGCCAGCTCATTCGAATTTCAAATGCAGGACACGCTTCACATCCTTGGAAGGACGTGGGATAACTGGACACACGCATGGCGATGATTCATTTCGCATTTCGTTCAGACAGATCGCATACGAAAAATTATGTTAAAACAATAAAAATATTTGTCAAAATAATGCGATTGCGTTAATAGAGCCAAATATTATTCTTGTATCAATTACCCAGACGGCGTGGGCAGCCGAAGGGAGGCGGCTTGTTTGTGGGATGAAAGTGGGAGTTCATTTGCAAAATGGTTTTTCCAGGCCACTCTAATGGAAATTGGCTATAAAAATTGCATGCATATTTAAAAATTATTCAATTTTAAAAATGAATTTGTTTGCTTTTGGAGTATCTAATAACCAGACAAACACGCCGAGTATCTCATTCTGGACGAGTATCTCACGCACTCACTCGCACGCACACCCTTGCCCTTGCCCAAATAAACATATGAAATTTACTTTAAAGCTGACAAAATCAATAAAAAATATTGTTTCAATAAGCAAGAAAAAAAAAGAGAGGCGAAATGAAGTTGGCAAAAAACGAGGCAATCAAAAACAAGGCAAAGGATAAGGGAACGATGTTTGAAAAGGATTTTTTAAACATATATTTTTAATACAAATATGTAGGTTAATAAATCAAAGAGTAATGTCTAAAAGAGGAAGAGATTTAATGCAGAAAGAATTTAAGTTATATTAAGGAAATTAATGGCTATTTATTTATTTACTTATTTCCGCCAACGGATAAATCCTTACATGGCTACAGAATAACAACTAACCAACTAATACGTAATAATAAAATACTATTACAAACTTAATAGGTGCCAGATTTACAAGCATTTGAAGACAACCTTATCAGAATTCGGAGGCTAGGTGGCAAAGAGTTAAAATATGAAAAAGCCCGCTCAATCGGCTCATTTAAAAGATAATTGGCCCTGTGGCACTTGATCCGAAAGGGGGCAAAGGTACGAGGATCCCTTTGAGGAAGCCTTTTAATGAGCCCCAGTAAAAAAGGGCAATCAATTTTATCAGCGAAATTATAAGGTTAAGGTTAAGTGTAACATTTTAATAAGGATGCTTCAACTAATGTGATCTTAACTTTTAAAAGGCTGAAAGAAATTTAATTATTTTACTTTAAGTAAGAGCTATAATCAACTCTTTTAAGACAATTATAAGTAATAATAATTTAAGCATCCTTAATTTTTTGATTATAAAGAACTTTGTACCTCTATCTTAATAGGGGAAATCTTAAAAAGTCCCCTTTTTAACCAAACTCAACTATCTCTTCTTAGAACCCTCCAATTTATAAATTAATGAAAAACTTTTTCTACTTTTCCTTGCAGACGTCGAACTTTAAGCTGAAATGGAAAAAAGTTTGCTCACTAATTTATGCCAACACAACAGTAAGATGGATGAAAGTTTGCAGCCTGCCGGAGAAGCCATCAGAGCCCCAAACCACCAAGCCAGAGAGCCACCCAACCGCACAACCACCCACTTGTACTGTTAGCTTTCCCAGGTGCCCCAACTATGTGTGTGCCGTGCGCCGTCTCTGTCCCGCCTGCGCCATGTGCGGCGGGTTGGAGCGAGAGAGCCGGCTGCCTAGGCCGTATTTTAAGCATTAGTTTGAACAACAAAAACACACAGGTTGAAAGAGGGTGACAGGGGGAGGGGGACGGCTAATGGGAGGAGGAGGTCCTAGGACGAACGAAAGGACAACGGGGCAACTATTTGCACAGTGCAGAGTTTCCCAGCAGAGGGCGGGAGAGCAAGAGAAAAAATCATGAATGGCGTCCGGTGCTGAGGGTTTCTCGGCTCTCTCTCCCTCCCCGAGATACTTTGCACGCCTGAGTGTGTGTGCGTGTATCTGTATCTGTGAGGTGGTGTATCTATGGCTGAGTGTGCGGGGCTCTTCACTTACTGACTGCGAGTGCCAGCCATCGTTGGTTGGCCACCGCAGCTGCACGTTCAGATACACGCACACACACACGCGCCAGATACAGATACATTTTGGTGCGGGTGTTGGCGCTGCCAGCGTCGCTGCCTCGGCGGACGCTGCTGCCGCCTCGGCCGCCGTGTGCGTCGCTTCGATCCGAGCTGTGTGTTATTTCAGTTACACAGATTCAGTATCCGACGTGTTACTATACCGAACGGTTCTGCGATCTCCGCTCGCTCTGCGGTGTGATTTTTGCTTCGAAAAATAAAAAAAACCAAAAAGAAAGCTACAAAAACACAGATACGTACATATATCGGTGCAGCGACACAAGTGCAGATACATATGTACAGATATAGTTGTACTTGAGCAAATATTATCAGAGGAAATAATAAGAAGCGAGGTGTTGTGATTGAACCAAAGCAAATATAAAATCAAGACCCGAACCAAGTAAGAAAGAAGCCACCCGGCGGCATCAGTGGAATTTCGAAGCGTTCCAGAAATCCGCCGGATTCGCCGCCATGCACACGCTCTTCAGCGACCAGAACTCCTTCACCCGCCACTACGCCCAGACGGCCGCCGGCTACGGATCGGCCTCGGCAGTGGCGGCGGCCAGCTCCGCTTCCGCAGCAGCGGCGGCACATTACGCATACGACCAGTACTCCCGCTACCCGTACTCGGCCAGCGCCTACGGCCTGGGCGCCCCCCACCAGAACAAGGAGATCGTCAAGCCGCCGTACTCCTACATCGCCCTCATCGCCATGGCGATCCAGAATGCGGCGGACAAGAAGGTGACGCTCAACGGGATCTACCAGTACATCATGGAGCGGTTCCCCTACTACCGGGACAACAAGCAGGGCTGGCAGAACTCCATCCGGCACAACCTCAGCCTGAACGAGTGCTTCGTGAAGGTGGCCCGCGACGACAAGAAGCCCGGCAAGGGCTCCTACTGGACCCTGGACCCCGACTCGTACAACATGTTTGACAACGGCTCGTTCCTGCGGCGGCGTCGTCGCTTCAAGAAGAAGGACGTGATGCGGGAGAAGGAGGAGGCCATCAAGCGGCAGGCCATGATGAACGAGAAGCTGGCCGAGATGAAGCCCCTCAAGCTGATGACCAACGGGATTCTGGAGGCCAAGCACATGGCCGCCCATGCGGCGCACTTCAAGAAGGAGCCTCTGATGGACCTGGGCTGTCTGAGCGGCAAGGACGTCTCACACGCCGCCATGCTCAACTCCTGCCACGACAGCCTGGCCCAGATGAACCACCTGGCCGGCGGGGGAGTGGAGCACGCCGGCTTCACGGTCGACTCGCTGATGAACGTTTACAACCCGCGTATCCATCACAGCGCCTATCCCTACCACTTGAACGACGACAACCTGGCCAGCGTGGCCAGCAGTCAGATGCATCACGCCCACCATGCGGCCGCCGCCCACCATGCCCAGCAGCTGCAGCGCCATGTGGCGCACGTTGCTCACCCCCTGACACCCGGCAGCCACGGAGGTGGTGGTGGCGGAGCCGGACCGGGTGGCGTCCAGTCATCGGGTCACTCGCCCACCACGATCTCAACGCCCCACGGACCGGCCCACGGCGGATGGTACACCCCGGAGACCCCTCCCTCAGAGCCCATACCCAACAACGGGCAGCAGGGCACGCCCACTCATCCGGGCAACAACAACAACGGAACTATTTTGAACAACAACGTGGGCGGCGGGAGCGGAGGACCTGGTAGCTCGGTGCTGACCAGCAGTCCCACCTCGGCCCTGGGCTTCCGGGACATGATCTTCGAGCAGAACCAGTCCTGCCAACTTGACACGGGCAGCCCCACCGGCAGCCTCCAGAGCGCCAGCCCCCCTGCCTCCGCCAGCGTGGCAGCGGCCTCGGCGGCGGCAGCGGCGGCGGTGATCAGCAGCCACCACCACCACCACCATCACCATGCGGCGCTGAGCGGGAACCTGGGACAACTGGGCCAGCTGAGCAACCTGAGTCACTACCGGCCGCACGTGGGCCACTACCAGGAGTACGGCATCAAGTACGGGGTTTAAGTGGCACACCACCATGCACCATGCCAATAACAATCCCGCCAATCAAAGCTGGGCTCTCTTGTATATTCCTGTAAATATATGGCCAAGAACGAACCGCAGCACGGAAGAATCTTTAGAATACGCATCTTGCATCTCTTGTATCTCAAAGCGAGTTTGTTTTCGATTCTATCTCGTTTTACGATTGTTTTCCACGCTCCACCCCCCCTCCCAAATGGTATACGAAGCGAATGAGTTTAGTTTTTAAGGAACTCAGCCTAATTGTATTATTATTATTATTGTATTGTATTAACTGTATCTGGTAATTGTAGCCCGTAATTGTTATCAACTTTAGGCTTAGTCCCAATTGTCTGCTACGCAATTTGTGATGAGAGATTTTGCTACACAGAATATAAACTTAAATTTAAAAATTAGCGCATTTTGTCAATAACTAAACCACTATTGAACACACGGATTTATCGCTTAGTACTCTAGCCTAGCCTACGTAAGCAATAATAAATTATACAAATAAATCATAACTCTAACTATAATTATCGAAACAAGAAAATGCAAAAACTAGCCTACAACCAATATGAACCGAGCAAAAAAGTGTATTGAAAAAATATGTTAAAATATCTCAAATTCTGTCTTTTATTTCCTTTTTTTTTTAATTTTTCAATTTCCAGTGCATTAGCCTGGCCCGAAGCAAACGTGCCATACCATATGGCCGTATTGTGGCTTTGGCAAAACATATTTTTTCCCCCGAAACTGGATAGCGCACACGCCGAATTCCTAGATAAATAATTATTCAAGCCGTTTCCATTTCGGGCTCTGATCGATTGAGTCATCCGAGCAATAGCCTCTGGGAGATGGCTTTCCTGGTAACAGTGTCATATCATGTGCAATTGGAAGTTCAGGTGGCAACAGATATATTGAATCTTAAGGCAAAACGATTTTTAATAGATGTAATGAGTGGAGTATCGTACACAATCTTAAGATAGAGCCAGAAGAAGAAGCTTTACTAAATGGGGTTTCTAAGAAAGGGGTTCTAGAAAGTCTCTAGTCTAAGCCCCAATATAAAACCTCTCTAACGGCTTAGTTTCAAGACATAAATAATAATAAAGTTTAATTTTTTTATGACTATTTAAAAAAAAAAACTTAGCTTTCACTGAGACTACCAACCAACAATGGTCGACAAATTATAAACCTTTAGTTAAGCAAACTGAACCTGCAGTATTTTTGGCCTGCTCCTAATTGCCAAACAATTGCAGCAAATTGGTAGAAAGTAAAACGGCCAAACTGGTAGCCAAATTCAACCTGCGCAACATCAATAATGAGTGCAAAAAAATTATATCTATACCGGGTACTGGAAGCTTATTAGCCCGCAATCGAACCAGTTACCCAACCAACCAAAAATTGATTAATTGCCGAAAATTCGGCTGCCGGGGCTGCTGATTTGTGTGACGATTGAGGTTGAAAATAGAGTCGCAGATGGAGATGAGGAGCTTGTCATGGTCTTGTCTTGGGGCTTTTGTGAAGTCTGTCAGACGCCATTGTCACTTGAGCTTAGTGAGCTCGGCTTGGCGCCACCGCGGCATTGAGATCGCTCTTCCACCTCGGCGGGGAGTGCGTATTTCTGGGTATCCAGTGCCTCAGCCCCGGCTCAGGTGTTTCGGGGCAGGGGCGGGCTTACGGCAGATGTTGTTTTCAATGGCGGACACGACTTGAAATATGTATATCCAAAAGCTGGCCCACAGCCACAACAGAGAAGTACCTATCTGGGTGGCATGTGAATGGCGTTCAAGTGCCTGCGAAAAGTGTGCCAAAGTCTGTAGGCCTGAAAGTAAACTTGGATTGGACTACACTGGACAACATATATTTCAAGCCTGTTTCTTCTGTTGAAGATTGAACAGTTTATGGTTAAGGAAGTATTTATAGAATAGCTGCGTTTGGGTGTATGATCTCCTAAAATGGACTCATTCATGGTCTCTGGAAGATGTTTTTTTTTTTTAATTTCAGGCTCGTCTTGGGGATGAATGGACTTATCTTTATTGAGTGTTAAGCATTAAAGTTGCTAATCATGTAGAAGCTAATCAATATTTTAATAATAGTACTAAAACTTTCAATTATAAAAGGTATCTATGTAGTTTCTTTGAAACGACAAAGAAAATACATTTTATTAAGACTTCGTGGATGACATTGTATGCTTATATCCTGTATAATTTTTTTAAAAATTCGGACTAAATGAAACTATAATAAATTTAAATTAATAATAGGTAAGAACTCTATTTTCTCAATACTTCATACAATACAATTTGTATAACCTAACCATAATAACACAATATCAAAGTTTTCTAAGCGTAAGAATGATATTATTTCTGTGTTAAAGGAGTAATTGTCTTAAATATAAAACACTTTTAGAAACAACTTAAATCTACGAATCCAGATTTTATACTTTTATTTGTATATTCTTTTATTATTCTTTTATTTTATTATTTATGTATTATGATTAGCTTAGAATATAAGCCTTACACAAACTGTAATCTTTGGAGAGGCTGCCCAGTGCTTCAAAGTACATATCATTTGGACGTGTTTTTGGTATGCAAATTCAGCACATTTGGCACCAAAAATTTCGACTGCCGTTGTGTTGACAGCAAATATGCCAGGCCATCCCGACTCCATTCGGTGTCAAAAGCAACAAAATTAAATGCGAAAACAACAAAGACGGATGGCGGATAGCGGATGGCATGGGTTTCCATGTTTGCTTGGAGTGAAGCCTTTGTTGATAGCGCGGGTGGTCCGGAATTTGGAATCCAGAAACCCGTAACCCGAAATTCAAAATTCCAAATTCGGAATCCAGAATATTCAGAGGTCCACGAGCGGAGGACAAGAAAAACAAATGCAATGGCGACAAAATGTTGCAGTGTTTGCTTAGCGATAAGGACGCGCCCACACACACACTCGCAGACACACACTGGGACAAAAACCCGGCCAGGACAATAATCAAAGCGGAGCAGGAGGGGTACGTGGGGAGGGATATACGCCTGACAAATATTGACAGCTGTCCTGGGCGTATATAACATATACATACATTGTGCAACCAGCGCCCGATTTACATAAATATTATTGCAAGCCTAATTAAATGCAAGTATTAGCCGGCCAGCTGCCCAACAGTTGGGCAAGGATTGTATCTGTGGGATACGCTGTATCTATGACTATGACTTGGCCCCCGGGAGATCCTTTGTAATTAACGCTGCTTATTTTTCGCTTATTTTTCGCTGTTACCACTAGCCCCCTTTTCCCCCTCTCCTCCTTTTCTGCTTCACCAACACCTTCCCCCGCCACCCCATCCCACCCATATTTATTTACCTGGCCAGTTGTGTTGATGACCTGTTATCATTGCTCCGTTATAACAATAAATTCAACGGACAACGCTCAGCCCCGGTGACAACAACTACGACGCGGATTGTTGTTGTTCTTTCACGGTTTGCCGTTGTTTTGGCAGCTGTCGTTGCAATTAACCAGGCCATAATAGACAATGGCTCTAAAGTAAATTCATAAACCCCTAGGATGTTACCATACATTATGCGATGACATTTATACATTTCTGTGGGAAAATGCAGCCACGAAAATTTAACATTCAAAAGTAAGTTTAGGGTCAAGTAAGTTTACAACTTACTGAAAGTAAAGGGAAAGAGGGTTTTCATTTAAAAACTATACATAATTATATACTAACTACATATAGCATAAGATAGAGGCATAGCGAATATATGGCAAAAACGAGAAAATTTTAGATCAGCACGTTGTGATTCCTTAAATACCTCATACCCGGTACTCTTATTTAGTCAAAAGACACATTAGAGTCTTAAATAACCAGTGCCAAATACAAAACACTACAGAAACGATAATTGTACATAATTATACATATAGTAAAGGTAAAAGATATTAGGCGTAAGACGTAAGAAAATTCTAGGTTTAAGAACTTGGTGTATCAGAGAAAATTTGCAAGAGAATAGGTACATCCATGAATCTACTATATTGCTCATTTCCTCTTTCATTTCGTCAAAAGACTTAAAAATTTGTATCTAAATAAAGATTCAAGGCAGAATTAAGATAAAAAAGTATATAGTAACAATCAATTGTGAAAAATATTATACTTTAAACATAATAGAATTTTTAATATAGATTCAATATAATACAAAAGAATTTCATTATTTTTTTAATGTATCTAGGAGACTAAATGGAAAAAGAAGAACCTAAAGCAGGCACGTCTTACATTCTTAAATACATAATAGCCGGTACTTTGCCAGTCTTATTCGCATATTATTTTTTTAATGTATTCATTGATTTAATAGTTTATGAGCGGATTAATAAAACTTCGGGAGTTACCATTAAGAACAACTCCAAATGGGTACTACCCGGCACTTTTTCTCAAAGCAAAATTTTTTAATTGTTTGTCAATAACTTGAATTTTATTTTTAGTGATCTTGGGACGGAGGTTCCAATTTTTAATGACTTTATAATTTCTTTTCTGGGAAATCCGAGTCGAATCTTCTTGATCAACTTCAGATTGATTGTTTGCTCTCCGGCTAGGCCATTTAATTTTGTAGAAGCTCCTTTTACGCTGCCAGTCTCTTGAGTAGAGTAAACTTCCGCTTCCCTTTTGGTCCGCCAGCTCCGCCCTATGGGCCATATAAAGCCATAGCCGGGTTTTAGTGCTCGGCCAATGTCTGCTAATACACAATAACAACGACAAAGGCAGCACAAAGCGAGGCAACTGCATTTTTATGGCATTAAACAAACTTTGAGAGCGTATGTTTTCGAACACTTTTGAAGTTTTATTGAGTTATAAATACGCAGAAATGACTTTGGAGTTGCTCCTTGCCCGTTGGCTGATGGCTCGCCTTTGGCAGCAATTTTCAAATTAAATTTATGATCGATTTATGCAAAAACAAAAAAACAAAAAAAAACACAAAATAGAAAAAAAAAAAAAAAGAATTATGCAGCCAGCGCCAGGCGTCGACGTTTGAGTAAATTATCTGCAGGGGAGAAATGGCTAGAGGGGATGGGTGTGGAGTGCAGAATTTATTGGCCGTCTAGGTTGCACCACGGATTCTGCAACATGCAACAACAAAAACAACAACTAGAACTAGAACTGAGGGGGAAATTTTGATTGACTGTTGCGCTTGAAACGCTTTGATCTTCGATCCCTGATGGGCGGAATAGATGGATCCGTCAGTGCCGATCCGATCGGCGACGCCAGCAGATGGCGCTCAATGAACGATTATATGCGATTTCCGATCTGCATATGTATAATCTGGAGTTTTCAGCAGAGATGCCATTAAAATTAAGAGTCTAAAAGGGAGGGAATCTAAGGGATTGTTTCTTAGTGGAAGTGTTAGTCGATACTAACGTGTATAAGCTGAGTTATTTTATCTATAGGGCCCAAAACTTGTAATGTATTTTATTAACTTTATTAAATAAGTTTACACAGTTCATAGTTTAAATCTACAAAATAAAATGGATGTGTTTGTCTTTCCGGATCTTATTTTTCAAAAGTTTTTATTATTTGTCATTAATTTACACTTTATAAAT